ATGGCAGCCCAGAGAGCTCTCAAGAACTTCCACAAGGGCATTGAACACATGGCCAAGATCCACGAGGCCCGGTATGGGAGATGCGACACACACATCATGGCGAGAGAACAGACGCACCTGCCCCCTCTTGTGTGTAGGGTGAAGTCAAATGGCAAGCAGAAGGGTGCTGACATCGCAATCGCTGACATGCTGAAAGACATGGCCGACGACCCCGAGATCGCAGCGGTGGTCTTCGTGGCTGGGGTATGTTGCACACATTCGTTTATCTATGGTCACCCGTGGTCATCTGTCATGCGATCGTTCTCCATTTCTCTTGCACTGAAGGATGGCGACTTCGTGGAGACGCTGGAAAAGACTCAAGGTCAGAAGCCGGTCTTCTTGGTGACATCGGACGGGTCATACGAGTAAGTGTGATAAGCTGATCCCACACGAGCTGCAGCAAATTGTTTATCTGTCGTGTCGTTATCTGCTGCAGCAAATCATGGTGCCGTTGGTGAAGAAACTGCACGACTTGGATGCCATCTTCCAACCAGACTTCTGATCTACTAACTAAGACTTACTGTGTGCGTTGGCTGTTTGTGTGCCCAGCTGTAAGTGTGATAAGCTGATCCCACACGAGCTGCAGCAAATTGTTTATCTGTCGTGTCGTTATCTGCTGCAGCAAATCATGGTGCCGTTGGTGAAGAAACTGCACGACTTGGATGCCATCTTCCAACCAGACTTCTGATCTACTAACTAAGACTTACTGTGTGCGTTGGCTGTTTGTGTGCCCAGCTGTTTGTGTGCACAATAACTGTGTTTTCGTCACTGGCCTATGGATGTGTTGTGGTGTACTATGCCGACGTGCTCGTTTTCTTTCTCTCTCTCTCCCCGTCTGTCTGTCTGTCTGTCTGGCTATCTGGCTGTATGTGTGCATGTGGGAGAGAGGGAGAGGGCGTGGCCGGGCTGGATGAGTTGTGTCCGCTTCTTCTTGCGGGCAATTGATGCAATGTCTCTTTCCGATAGTATGGTTAATATTGCTGATTTTGTATATAGTATCTTTATCCTTTCAATGCAATCGCTGCCTCATGTAGCGTGGGATGTGTTCAGTGAGAGAGGGAGGGGTAGCGACTGAACTGACTGGCAACATCTGTGTGTTGTCAGTGCATGTCTTCATCGCCACTTCAGGGCAGGCGAGAGATATCGATCGGTCAGATACTGTAAGTGGAGTGTTGATACTTTTTCAATCGTTGTGCGTGTTGTGTGCAAAGAGACAGAAAGGCAAAAGAGAAATATAGATAGAAAGATAGATAGAACAGAAAAATCAAGTACAGAGGATGCGTGCTTGGCTCTGAGTGATTCAGCGACTCCCTGCCCAGGGATTTCTTCCTCTTGATGCATTTGTGCTCTTGCTGTGGTTGACTGCTCTTGCCTGATTGGGAAAGGGTGCGTTGCTGTGGTTGGCTGCCTGTGACTGTTGGGAAAGGGTGCGTGTATCGAACTGCATGGACACGGTAGCTCACGTGAAGGTGTGTGGACGGAAGGCATTGAGAGAGCCGTGAGAATCAGATACACGCTTACACAATCAGACGTCACCGGTCAGCTGCCTTCCTCTCCTGCCCGAGTCATCCATTCAGTCATTGACGCATGTCATACGTAATACACCCAACACATCCCGACAGACACATCCTCCGCCAGCACAACCTTTCCTCTCCTTCATTCGTCGTGGTGTCACAGGATGCTTGCAGACATTGACCACGTGTGTTTGCATCAGAGAGATATGAGGATAGACGACACGAAAGCAAACAAAGAGACGCATTGGCACAGGACAGTTTGTGACACAGGACAGCTACTGATGTCACACTCGCACTCACTAGAGCACAAATTGTGCGCGGGACACGCACGTAACCCGTCACCTTGCTCCAATTCACAACACCGCAAGCACCTCCAGATCATCAGGAGCTACCACGACATCACCTTCCACACAGTCGTCCACAGTAACCACATCATCATCCTGATGACACAAAGCACCGAGTGAAAACAGACCTTCTTCCGCTTCTCCGTGTCTTACCTCAGGTATGTCACTAAGGTGATATCGCCTTTGCCCGGATGGCCTTGGGGGGGACGCTCATTGGGTCGTCACGGCCGGCCATCCATCGCCGCATCGATCCTCAATCTGCGGGTACTTGGGCTGTCTGTCGCGTATCTTGTTCGGATCGATGATCTGCTTGCCCGACTCCCACTGCTTCTTCAGATTGTAGCGCCACTGCGAGAACTGGCCATACTTGACGCCCTTCTCCTTTGCGAACTTTGCCATGCTGATCTTCGACGGATCCTTTTCGCGCATCGAAGTCCTTCACCAGCCGAATCCGCTCGCCGATGGTGACCTCCGGTGCCCTCTCAGTGGACACCTGATGACAGACATGCAGACACAGACAAGATGTGACAGATTGGTGGTGATGGAGCACAGTCACATGGGCGCGTCGGTGCACGAGCTATATCTCCACCCACCTGTGTTTGGGTGTCATGTTGATGATGCTCCACGACCAATGTGGTGTCCGCCGTCCCGCCAGCCTGGAGAGTCACGCACACATCAGCCAGATCAGCCAACAGCCAAAGATCTGGGTGTGTACGGCAAAGGACGTCACCTGTGGGTGAGATCTGAACGAGTCGTCCATCAGAAGGCCTCCTTTGGGCAGATCTCCGGAAAAGGACCTCAGATGGTTGGTTGGTTAGTGTGTTTAACGAGACTCGTGTCTGTAACCCCGGAGGGATCCTGTTGTCTCACGCACTAAACTAGCAGCATGTACATGCAAAGCATGCACACGGCCTGTCTACCCCTCCCTGCACTGGCACCGGCGGACAAACAGATGGCAACAGAGAGCACTGGCTGCCTTGTAGAACGTTGACAAACACCGATTCCGGCTACATACACAAGGATGGGCGCTGTCGCCCAGCAAGAGCCATGGCAAGTGTACAGAAGCCAGAAGGGGGAAGTAGAAAAATGAGCGCCCTCTGAGCCACCAAAGCAACAATCAGCCAATCACATGAATACACCACCATATACACACGGGACCCATAGGGAAGGAAGAGAGGAAGATAGCAAAGGGAGAGAGAAGGAAACAGCCAGTCAGGCCATGAGGCCCTGCAACATATGATAGACAATACCTAAGGTGCACTCTATCCCTTCACACGCACTGAGTGGGTTGCGCTCAATCCATTCTTGCCAGACAGTCAGACAGGGAAAGACGACGTGTATTGGATCAGTGGGCAGCACGGTGTGATCTAAGTCGATAGGCACTTGGCAGGCACATGCACAGGAAGTCCTGGCTAGGCTGGCAGAGGAAGACAGAAGGCAGCTAAAGGGGAGAGCCCCGCCGCGGTAATGAACAAACAGACAGACATGCGGCACTGGCTGAAATGGCATGAGTATGGTCGCAACAGAGAGGCACGCCGAAGTCTAACCACACGCGCAACCATGCACACGCAAAAGAAAAGACATCATGGCGGGCAACGACACGTGATAGGCTACCGCAGAGAAGAGACCACACCAATGACAAGACATCATCAGCCGCTTCACCCCCACCACCAAGCACTCAAACGAAGATGATGAGCACGAGGACATGAAAGGCAGGGGGAAGGCGGGGGAAGCAAGCTAGACAGACAGAGGCAAGAAGGGTCCCACAGACGGACAGAGGCAGCACCATGAATGACAGGAGTCTGGTCTCAATGCACAGAGGCACGCCGAAGTATAACCACACGCGTAATCATGTGCACGCAAAAGAAAAGACATGGCAGCGTGCGACCTCACGTGATAGGCTACCTAAGACACAGAGACCATCCAAATGACAAGACATGACAGACCCCCTCCGCCCACACCACACAGAGCACATCATGATCACGGTGCCAGTGCAACAAGCGAACCATGCAATAAAGCAGATGCCCTCCCATCCATACGCAAGCATCATTGCAGCTTCACCACGGCAACACCAGCGGTTCAGCACACTCTGACGAACGGGGACGGGGGGGAAGCCGCATGTCCCAGGCAGGAGCGAGTGCAGTTCTCGTCACGTCGGTCCGCTGAGACGGCGTCGTCAAGCAGATCTTCACGATGAAGACCCAATTGAGGCTCGGGGGGATGTGGGAGAGCGTGTCGGGGGGGCGAGAAGGACGCCAGAGGAAGAGCCAATAAGGCTGAGCGGTATGATGAGCTGCGGCGGGCAGCATCACGAGGAAAGATCGGAGACGCCAACCACAGCCAAATGGGCACAGACGAGGACCGGACGAGGACCAACATGACCCCCAGAGGGAGGGGAAGCCGATGGCATCCTCAGCCAAAAGAAAACAAGGCTGAGGATGCCTCGAGATCTGCCTTGGGATCTGCGAGCTCAGCAGGGCGGGAAGATGCATCCACGATCGCTTCTAGCTCGCGACCTCCTAGGGTGCTCCCTGAAACCGCTGCTCTGTCGCCTCAAGCGCTGGAGCCTCCTCTACACGATGACTCGCGTCACGAGGCATTTATCTGTGTTACGGCCATTCGCATCGCACGTGATCCCTCCCTTCGCGTGCCAGCAGTGGCGCTATCTGTCTGTTTCGGCTCCCTCCCGATGCGCGAGGAGCACTCCCCGCCTTCCCCTTCCTCTCGTCTATGACCAGTTGGTGCGCAGCGGCACGTTCGCCGACGATGTGGCACAGCGGAGGTGCGTAGGGCAGCTGGAGGGCATGAAGAGCGCTGTTCTGCACCATTTGGAGGGGAGAGGGCAAGACGGCCTGACGGGACTGTATCTGCATGGTCCAGTGGGCAGTGGAAAGACCATGTCAGTGAGCCACACACGTGCTGTCCGTCCCGTTGGCATACTCTTCAAGTGTGTTGTGTCTGCAGGTTGATGAACATGCTGTACAGCAGCCTTGTGGAGGATCTCAAGGGGAGCAGACACTCATCTGCCGTTGTCCGTCACCACTTCCATGACTTCCTCCTTAGCATCCACGCGAAGATACACCAGGTGAGTCACCACACTAAGTGTTCCACTGCTTCTGATGCGCCAATTGTTATACTTCTTTCGGCCAGCTTCGGCAGCAGGAGGGGGGCTTCCCCGATCCGTGTGGCCGCATCTCGTCGGAGCTCACGGCGGGCGTCAAGGTCCTCTTCTTCGATGAGCTTCAGATCATGGGGATTGCCGACGCCATGATCGTGCTGCACCTGTTCCGCCACCTGTGGGCGCGAGGCTTGGTGGTCGTGGCCACCAGCAATGTGCCACCCGAAGAGCTGTATCAAGGCGGACTTAATCGCGATTTGTTTCTGCCTTTCATTCACCTGCTCAAAGAGCACAGCGACATCATCCATGTCAAGGTAGGTACCCACACGCGCACACACCTGAGGAGAGCAGCATAGCCACGGATTCTGTTCCCTGGCTCCGTCAGTCTGTGTGCGACTATCGCCGGTTCACACGAAGCGACGCCAAGACATCCCCCCGGCCGCCAGCAACCTTCCTGCACCCCCTCAACACCCGCACAGACGATCAGCTGATGCAGTTGAAGCGCAGCATTGGTGCGTCAGGTCCGCCCAAGGCCACGGAGGTACCCGTGCGCATGGGGAGGAGGTTGGCAGTGCGCAAGAGCTGGGAGGACGGCGCGGATTCTGGGCGGGGGATTGCTGAATTTGACTTTGACGAGCTGTGCAGGCGCAACCTAGGTCAGTCCGGCGACACCCTGACCCCCCCACACCACACAAAGCAAGGAACACGGACGCAGAAAGCATCTTCTTGTCTGTCTGTTTCCCACCACAGGTGCCCCGGACTACCTTTCAATTGCAGACCATTTCCACACCGTCATCCTCACCAACGTGCCAGCCTTCTCGCACGATGACCACGACGCGGCCAGGCGACTCGTGACGCTCCTCGACATCCTCTACGACAAGCCATCCAGGCTCATCTGCACGGCAGCTGCCCCAGCCGAGCGCATCTTCGACGGCCTTATCCGCAAGTGCCTCGAGGCCATGAGTGATGGAGATGGCGAAAGCGGCCATCATCACATGCCGGGCGCGGCGGCTCGCGAGGGGGAGTGGCTGAGCGAGCGGAGGAAATATGATGATGGCGGAGGGAAAGGACAAGACGGCTCAGCGATAGAGGAGACTATCAGAAGGCTGACCAGCGGAGCGAGGGGCGGCGACGACCAGCCTTCTTCTTCTTCTTCGCGTGATGCTGATGTGGGTGCGGTGAGGGTGGCCGATCACGGCGGCTCGTCTGGCCGTCATGCGTCGGTGTTCAACCTCCTCGGCCACATCAAGTGAGCTGATGCGTGCGTGACACACAACGAAATGGGAGAAATGGACGGACACTGAGATGCCTCTGTGTCTGTCTGGTGTTGGCTCAGGGAGGAGGTTGAATGGTCTGCCACCGGTCTGCGAACCTCGGCGCTCGCCGATCTCGCCCCACAGCGGCAGGACGTGCTGTGGACCTACCAGAGGGCGATCAGTCGGCTGATGGAGAACTCGTTGACGAGACAGCAGCCAGCTGCTGCCTAGTGAGGGTACACTACCTGGGGAGAAAGACAGGGGAATGGGCCTTTCTGTTGTACAGACTTTGGCTGCCTGTCTTAGCCAGCGGCCTGTTTACCGCAATTTTGATGTGTGTATTTTGTCTGTCTGCATGTCTGTGCGGCGTCTCCAGCTCCCTCCCCTCTGTGTGTGTGTCCGAAGGACCGCAGGAGAGAGAGGGGAGGCCGGTTTGGTTTGGTTGCTGACGTTGTGTGTACATCTATATATGTGTGTGTCGATACGCGAGCGGCACGGGACGCTCTGCTCTGTCTGTCTGTCATGCTGCGGGCTGTGGACGGTGGGAAGACGAGAAAGAGATCGGTGTGTGTAGCGTAGCATGCGATCTCTTGTGTACTGACTGGGGAATACAAATAAACTCATTAATGTATGTGTGTGTGTATGTATATAGATACGGACACACACGGCCACACACGGCATAGCATAGCATAGCACACACACACACAGACAGTTTGGCATACATTGCCAGTGAGTGCCATGTATACAAATACACCGGTCGGTCAACAAATCAATCAATCAAAAAAGTGTGTGTCTCTTACAACAAGAATGGATGGACACCACACCACCACCGCAGCTTTGTCGAGGCAGTATGCCTATCTACATTACACACCGCCCTGCCCTGCCCGCATGCAAACGGCAAGGCAGGCCGTCGATAGCTACGTGAAACAAACACCCGCAATTCCTTACTCATCGCTCAAATTAAGTCGCTAGTGCCGAGTGCATTGCATCCATCTGTCTCTCGGCCCCTCTGTCTACTCACCCTCCACCTTGCCCCCCTCCTCTCTGTCTGCCGCTAGCAGGGTCTCCCGCACTACTCGCTTCAGCCGTATGTCCCACCTCGGCTGCAGCTTGCCCGTCAGCTGCTGCACCCACTCCCCCTCCTCGCCACAGATGTCAGTGGTCCGGGCACACAGGCATCTCAGCACACTGCCGGGGATGCAATGCTGACCCCGGGGGTGGGGGAAAAGAGAAAGGAAGCCAATCCATGCATCCATCCATCCATCCATGGCTGCCTGCGTTGCGTTTTCCCCACCCACCTCTCGGATTTGTGCTACGAGGATGAATAGTCGTGGCTTCATATCCGCATTCACTATCTTCTGCTCGAGCAGCAACGCCACTCCCTCGCTATCCAGCCCCTCCACACGCCCACCACCGGCCCCCTCGCCGCACACAGGCGACGCCACACGCCCCCCATTGGCTGCCGCCCTGTCCTTGAGTGTCTTGACCAAGCGCTGCAGCATGAAGAGGGTGCACTCGGACATCGGCAGCTCTGCCAGCAGGTCCTCCCTCTCTGCCGGGTCGTGGACCAGCTTCTCCAGGTCGGCGAACGTCGCGAACGGCACCAAATTGAACCGCTCGACCGACTGAGCAGACAAACAGAAAACACACGCACTGGACGCTGGACGGTGTGATGTGTGTGTGCAGACGTCGCTAACTGACCTCTTGGCATCGCTTCGCGAGTTGGCGAAGGCCGGGCTGAGGGAGGGCGCTCATCAGCTGGATCAGATGCTCTGTCGTCAGGTCGCTCAGCGCCACCTGGGGCCGTCCCTCGTCGTTGGCCCCCTCCGCGGCCGGCACACCCGGCAGAGCGGCAGGGCTGCCCCTGTCCTTGCCCCTGCTATCCGATGGGCCCCCCGCGGCACTCGCAGCGGCTGCAGCTGCCTTGCCCTCCTCCTCTCCCTCAGCCTTGACCACACCCACGATGGCAACGCCCTCGCCCTCCTTCGTCTTTGGGGGGGCCTCTGGCGGCGACTCGGCCGTGACATTCCGTCTCTCTGCCGTGCCGCTGACCTCCTGCTTGACGGTTGCTGGCAGGATGGCTCGTGGTGGGTGTTGCTCGGGAGACGGAGGGGCAACCGGGATGGCTGGTGGGCTCGGGTGAAGACCCGAAGGAGAGGGAGCCTCCGCAGTCTGTCGTGGTGCCTCTAGCATCTGTTGGTTGCCGTTGCCCGCGTCGCGCTCAGGGAGAGCGGGCGGCGTGAGGGAAACGGGGGTGCTCTCGTCGGTTGCCGCATCTTCGCGATTGCCGTTTGCCGACTCGGTTTGCTGTCTGTCTGGTGCAGGCTGCTTGAAGTTCTCGGCAAGTGCTCCAAATGCTCTGAGCTGGTCGGTCTCCTCCTCGCTGGCCATCCCCTCCTCCTCCTGAGCAGCGATGCCCATCCTGAAACGCCACTTTGCCGCTTCGACGAGGGCGATGGCCACTGCCTGCCTCAGAGGCCGCTGGCCGTCACGCTCCACAGGCACCCTCAGCTCCAGACGCTGCCCTTGCCCCGGCCGGTCACCGCCGTTTGGCACAAACGAGGCGACGAAGCCCGTCAGCCGGAGGCCCTGCCACGTGCCAGCCCACAGAGGCTTGATGTGAGTCTTGACACAGTTGAGTGAGGGGGGGAGAAGAGACATCAGCTTGTCGACCAACTGCCTCTCGTCACACGGCTGCTCAGCTGCAGGTGCCCCGCCCGCAGGTGCCGCGTCCGTCACGGCCCCCACGCTCACACTCTCGGCGTGCTCCTGTTGGGGACTGGCGTCCGCGGGCTCGTGACGATGCTCCTCAGGGGCAGGGCTGATTCTGGGTCGTGGTGGTGGTGGTGCGGGGCCGCCTTGCTGCTGCGTGGTGGTGCTGCCGTCGCGTTGGGTGAGGGATTGGGGAGGGAATGCCGCTCGACTGAGGGTTTCGAGGATCGCAGAGGGAGACAGCTTGAACTGCTGCTGCAGCCGCCACTTGAACTCCCACGCCTTGGTGAGGGCGCTGAAGATGCCCTCGTAGGTGTACCGAGCCGGCGCAAACGGCTCTGTGACCTTGAAGGGCGCCGTGTGGGCACCTCCCAGCCGCACCTCGGCCTCCACCACCCACTGCAGTTGACTGCTGTTCCATTCCATGCCCTGCTGGCACACCAACGCATTCGCCACCTGCAGTCTCTTGGCCATCACCTCCACTCCCTCGGCCGTGAGAGGCACGTGCTTCTCCGGCCGTGGGTTGAGGTGGAAGATGGCTGGTGCACGCCTCAAGGCAGGCCCTAGGGGCATGGCCATGATGGACTCGCGGAGACTCAACTGAGGAAGTGGCAAAGTCGGCAAGGGGCTGCAGCGAGGGACGCCGGGCGACGCGCCAACACCGGCCGCTGCCCTTGTCTCGGCGGACTGGAAGATGGGCTGCAGAGGGTGTGCGGACCAGGGCGGGTAATGGGAAGCGGCCAGAGCAGGGGGACGGGAAATGGGCGGAACTGAGACTGGGAAGGGGAATATGATGGGATCATGGGCACTGGCGCTGACTGCTGCTGCTGCTGCCGCTGCTGACGGGGTGTCCGCCCGGGGCTTCTTCTGAGTTCTCGGCCCGTCCGGGTGCGACACAGCGCCCTGCACAGAAACAAACAGCGGCGAGAAAGGAAAGGTCAGTAACAGTGTCACACAACAGTGTTGTACTTACGCGCTTGCTGCCGGACGGGTCCATCCCACTTCACTGCCTGACGTCGCTATGCTTCAAGGGACTGTCGCTTGCTCTCTCGGCCGACGGAAGGGCGCCACCATCAAAACCCCTCCTTGCAGAGCTCAGCTCCTTGATTTCTTGGACCCTTGATTTCTTGGCTATTGTGTAGGACGAGCCGTAGGGCTTAGGGTTTAGGGTAGAAAACCCTGCTACCCAAACCCTGGTGTTTCCAGTTGTGGCTGGCAGTGAGGCCAATGGCGTCGTTGTTCGGCGTGGACAACGAAACCGACTTCCTGGGCCTCGACCTCTGGCTGTGGTGCGCCATCGGGGGAGCCGTGTTCCTCCTCCTGTGGCTGCTCTCACTCTTCTGTTACTGCTCGGTAGATAGGCCCGTAGGCATGCAACACATGGCCGCCATCTGCAGTGCAGTGCCTGTGTGTGTTGGCTCGTTGCAGTCCCGTTCCCGCGGCCGGAAGGCGGTGGCGAAGGCCCAGAAAGAGGTCGAGGAGCAGAAAGGGGAGGCCGAGAGGGCCACCAGCGAACTCAACAAGATCATCGTAGAGCGAAATGAGTGAGGGCTCATCCTGCAGGAAAACACTTACACACATCAGATGACATCACACGCTCTCTGTGTATGTGTGTGTGTTCTTTGTGTGTGTGCAGCGCCAATGCGGCAGCGACGGAGCACCAGGCCAACCGTGAGGCGCTGCAGCAGCAGCTGGACCGGCTCAAGCAGCAGCTCCCGGCCAAGGATGACCAGATCAAGGAGCTCCAGACCTCCCTCCAGCAGCAGCAGGACCTCTACGAGTCGCAGATGCAGGAGCTCCTCAAATCCAGCGGCCAGCCCACCGCACAGCTCGTGGCCATCCAGCACAAACTTGCACACAAGGAGGCAGAGACCGCCCGGCTCATCGACGAGCTCATGGCCGTCTTGGCCACCCCTGCCACGCCTTTGCTGGTGGAGATCTGGGGTGAGGAGACCTTCCTGGGCGAGCAGTGGCTGCCGAGCCCTTCCCGCTTTTGGCGCGATGACGAGAGCACCACCAAGGGGCGGGGCAGCCGGGCGCCTGACCGGTTTGGCCTGCCGATGGTGAAGCACCTGACGGGCGGGCGCGAGGATAGGCGCAAGGAGAGCAGTACCAAAGGTAGAAAGCTGTAGAAGCACGTGTGTGATGTGATGTGGTGGACGAATGAATGATGCAGAAGGTGTGGCGTGAGGCGCGTGGCGTGTGTGTGTGTGTGTGTATTGGTCGCTTCTTGTGTTTTCTTGTTTGTGTGCACATAACATAGGTGGTGATGGGCCGGACGATAGCATTTCGACCGACAGGCTGCCTCAGCTGCAGGTGGAGGTCCGCTACACCAAAACGGTACCTACGACCAGGCAGGCCCACCCCACACACCAGCCCAGCCCAGCAAGACCATCCCAGCCCTGATGGATGGATGGAGATCTCTCTCTTTGTGTGCATCTTCTGCTCTGGCCTAAGCAGGTGACATCCGAGCACAGTCCGCCCGCCGTTGCTGAGTTCAGGGGTGCCGACGAAGGCGACGGCCGGACGGCTGTGCACACTGTCAAGTGAGTGGGCGGACTACGCACTTGTGACTTGTTAGTCATTGTTGTATGGTGTGTGTGGTGTGTGGTGTGTGAGCACAGGTACAGTCTGCTGGCGGTGCAGGGTGTGGACCTGTGGCAGCCGCTGCTCAAGTCGGCCTCGCACCTCACACTGACTGTGTGGCAACGAGTCGATGGTATGTGGCTTGGCTATGTCAGACAGTGCGGGCACACCAACACACAGCCACACGTCACACGTCACACGTCACACGTCACACGTCACACGTGTGTGTGTGCCATGTGGGTGATTTGATTTGCTTGGTGTCAGGCAAGTCGCGAGGCGGCGATGGGTGGAGTGTGCTGTACGAGAGCAATCCCTTCCCACTCAGTAGCGGGCAGAACAACCTGCAGCTCGACAACTGCCAGTTTGATCATGTGGTCGGCACGGCAGACACACTGACTGTCTGACTACGAGCGAAACGCGCTTCGCCCTGCTGCTCGGCATTCTTGCCGGCCTGTAGTATTTGTTGCTTTGTGTGCGTGTGATGTCTGCAGACGCGGCGTCCCCTGCCCCCGCCCGACCGCTCACCGGCCCTGTCGGCCCAGATCGAATCGCTCTCTCGCGAGAACCAGTCGCTGCTGAACGACATGAAGGACGTGCCATCGCTAGAAGTGTATGCAAGGCAACACACATAAGAGACAGCCGCACACACAACACACCACACTCTGTGTGTGTGTGGGTGTGGCAGCCGTGTTGGTGAGTTGACTGAGTTGTTGCGCAAGCGCGAGAGCGAGATAGCCCGGCTGCGTGTGGAGTTGGAGCATGTGAGCGAGACGGGCGAGAAGCCGATGGAGGCCATGATCAGGAGCGACCTCACTGTGCCCCCTCACGCGCACAAGACCATTGAGGAGCAAAACCGGTAGGCAGAGGGGAAACAAGATCTGTGACATCCACCCACCCATCCATCCACACACACCGTGTTGCAGGGACCGTTATAGGGAGATGTGCATGGCCAACAACGGCATCCTCTACCGAGACGAAATGCTAGGTACGGGACCACACCCCCCCGCCCTACCGCACCCACCGCACACACACAATATGCTCTCTATTATCTCTTGCTAGTTTCCATTCCACCCATCCCATCCCATCTGTCTGTCTGTCTGTCTGTTAGAGGTGAGCTGCCAGATGTCCTTCACCCGATCCACACGAGAGGGCAACCGCGGCGCCATCGAGCTGCGCCTCAAACCCACACTCGCGCCATCCACCCGCTTCACGTCCGTCCGACTCTCGTGCACCAACGCCGACCGACAAGACCTCGTGATGCACCTGCTGCCCATGTCGCACGCGCCGCTGATAGTTACCAAGAAGGAGAAGGAGGGAGCCAAGGAGGGGGCGACGGCGGGGGCGGAGGGGACGCCCAGTGGCGGCGGGAGTGGGAGTGGGAGTGGGAGCGCGGCGGCGTCCGCCAGCCGTGCGCGTGTCTACATACAGCCGATTCACGTAGAGATGGTGGGGCTCTTCGACGTGCCGCCGACGGTGGGTGAGATGCAATCGGACGCCTGTCTTTGCGACAACGTGTGTGTGGGTGTGGGTGTGTGTGTGTGTCGATGGTTTGTTTGTCAGTGTGAGGTAGACGTGTACCTGTCGGACAACTCGGTGCACCGCAGCCACTTCACGCTGCCCCTCATCGTGCCCAAGTTCCTCTCGCCCGCCACTCTCACACCACAGCAATTCCTCGCCGTCTGGTGGGACCCCAACTTCCAAACACGACAGGCAAGTGCACAGACACACATCCACACACACCAACACGCAGGAAGACACTCTCATGCCCCTCTCTCTGCCCACCTCTCTCCCCAACAGTCGCTGATCCGTTTGTCGCGCCCCCTGAGTGAGGACACGGGCGAGCTGACGCGCCATGCCACCTACGGCGGCGCATTCAAGCGTGTGGAGGGTATGAAGCATCACCTTGCAGAGGGCGCCCTGGTGGCCGCCGCCCGGCTCACCATGCTGCGCGTGGGGCCGCGGGGCGGCTCACACGACGCACTCTGCCTCATGAGATGCTGGCTCGGCACGGGGCAGCTCACAGGTCAGACGCATAGCAGAGAGGCCTGTGTTTGCGAGGGGATGCATGGATGGATGGATGCGTGTGGTGTGTGCAGGTGTGTGCAAGGTGGAGCTCAAGTGTGAGGATGTGCGTCTGGCGCAGGTGCTGCTGGACGGGCTGGTGCCGCACCTGGGGACGCCCTTCTTCCGCACCGACTCCAACGCCACCACCAACGACTTCTATCCCGATAAGTAAGTAGCATACCATAGCCACAGCCACAGCCACAGACATAGCCAGATAGATAGACAGACAGACGTGTGAAATTGATGGTCAGGGGAGGGGGAGGGGGAGGGGGAAGGGGACGGCAGGACAGAAAGGGTGGTGATTGAGATGGATGAGATGGACGATCGACATTGATGGTCTTTATTATGACTGTCATGATTCATCCCTTCATGGGACATGTGTGAGTCTTTTCTGAGTGTACAAACAAAAGTCTGGCTGGCGTCGATCGCTGCACAGCATAAACACAATATTCTGATGTGGTGTCTGTCTGTCTGTCGGCCGGGCTGTCTGCCACACCACACATCCGCAATTCACCCACCATTCACACACACACACACACACGCACACACACATGAGGGGAGGAAGATAAAATACACAGAGAGCGCTATGCTGACGGACACATGGCAGGCACATGTCTGTCTAATGCACACAAATCAGTCATTCACATCCGCAAACGCAGAGGGAGCGCTATGCTGACAGACAGACAAGACACATCATGTCTACTGTACACCTGTGCGCATCAACCAATCTAGACAAATAAGGCGGAGAAAATAACTGCAGTCAACCGACCCCAGCACAGCGGCACTCACTCACGCACATCGCCCTCGATGATCATCCCACTCATGGATCAGGCAGGCACAAGACACACTCATGATGTCTTGTCTCCAGTCCAGACCAGTCAGAGGAAAAAGGCGCAGTTGAGTACACACAAAGCATTGACGACGCAGCCGCTACCTCGTCACCTTCCGCCCGCTCATCACAATCATCTTTCTCTCATCCTTCTCCGTCATGCTGCTCTCCTCCCTGAGGCTCACACCCGCTGCACATCTGGGAAGAGATAATTGACAGATGGCATCCATGCACTCGCTTGTCCAAATCGCCTCCATGAATCTATCCACATATGCCTATGCACAAAAGGGCACGCTCACTCATCCGATGAGAACACCCCAGCCCCGTCCATCGCCCCAACACCACGCCATGACTGCCTCCCGCCCCTCAAACACAGGCTAGCAGCCCGCACCAATGCAACAGACAAACGAGCACGCAGCCACCCATGCACCCGCCCTCGCCCCCTATCTGACCACCCCTGCCTCGTCAACAGCTGCTCAGTCAAGCGGGTGAAGAAGTGCTCCGCCTCCCTCCCCCACACCCCATCGACGGTGACGACCAGAGGGGTGAAGGTCATGGACAGGTCCTCGCAGACGCGCACATGCTTGTTCTTCTTTCTGCGCTCGTGCGTCGCCAGGATGGATCGCGCCCGCTGCACATCTCGGCTCCTTCCCATGGTGGTCCGACTCGGTGCCTCCCAGGCCTGTCTGTTGTGTGAGGCGTGTGCGCCATGCGGCTGCCGCACTGCTGCAGTTACTCCACCAGTGGGAGAGCGCGTCGCTGCATAGATCAATCAGCACACCAACACGGCACAGGATAGAGCAAGCATTCTGTCTGCGTGTGAGATCTCTTTGCTCACCGCCATATTTGTGCAGAGGAGGTCTCCTGTTTGGCCTCCATCTTCGCGCCTTTTCCTGCTCGAATTTTTGAGAGCTCGCAAGGGTTTGGCGCCACAGCTCGCAAGTGGTATTAGTCCAGCGGTTAGGATGTCACGTTGTGGGCGTGACGACCCAGGTTCGAATGCTGGATACCACAATTTATGCGTGCGTGCTTGTCAAACCCTAACCCAACCGACCGAGACCGATCCGCCGATCCCCTTTGCAAAGGGGAATGAATGAATGATTCGATCTCGGCTGTATGTACACATTCGTTCAACCACACCATGTCATGAACCGGCCACATCCACACCACTCACTCACTCAGCCAGTCAGTCAGTCAGTCACACACACCCGCGTCTGTGTCTGAGTCTGAAGGCAGCAGATCAGATGCATCGCGATCCATACACGTACCTATTCACATCGACATCTGTCTGGCTGCACGTGGGAGTGCACGTGTACACACACAAAGAAAGAAATAAGACGGCTGTCCAGCCGTTGTGGCGGTCACGCACCTTCACTCAATTGGATGGGATTGGTTGCTGCCGTCAGTCATCCGATGGCATGAGCTCCTCATGCTGCAGACAGACAGACAGACGGAGCAGACAGACAGACCAATCTGTCCCCTCCTTTGACTTGCCACTCACTGGTCGTCCCCTTCGTGCCGCTGCTGCTCTGGCGCCCGTATCGTCACCACGACCAATGCCCAAGCTGGATGGATGGATGGATGGACAAACAACAAGACCACACGCACGACATGCAGACAGACATACACTCATGAGTGCTCCAATGGCCGGCGCCCTCCTCTGTTTTGTCGCTTCGCTGACCTGTTGTCCTCATCGGCCATATCCTCCATGCCAGACATGGCATCCTCATCCATAACATCCTGCACACACACACACACACACACACACACAACACACACACACCATTTGCCAGCCTATCCGTGACGACCCCCCTCCCTCCCTCCCTCGCTGCCTCCCCCCAGGTACCTCGTCTATGGTCTTGTCTTGCCCATTGGCCCACATGGCCCCGGGCGGCCCTCTTTCCCCCATCCCCTCCCACCCCTCTATCCTCTCCACCACACACTGCCTTCCCCCTACCCCACCCCCCACCACATTGCCATCAAACGCACACGCGAACGCCTTCCTGTTGCCAAAGCCCCTGACCATGCGAGGCAGCCCGTAGTGGTGGGCCTCCTCACACCGAATCACGTGCAGCACGTCGCGCACTCCATACACAACGCCCTCGTCGAGTATCTGCCCGCATCCCGCCCCTCCCCCTTCCTCGCTGGCCGATGCGTGTGTGAGGTGTGGTGTCACAAAGGCAGTGTGTCGAAACAAACGCCGCCTCACAGAGTGGCCAGCCAAATTGCAGGCACGCTTGAGGAAATGACGCAGAGCGGCATTGAGCCGCCGCCCGAGTGGCGTGCGATCAGAGAAGGGCAGTGGAGCGAGGGGGTCTAGATAAGCGGCAATCTGACAGCACAACACACCCAAACCGAACACGCGATGACAGGCCGACACGCCAGAGAGGGTGCGCAGAGGGGCGAGGGATGTGTTGATGAAGCGCATGGCGTGTGTCGGCACAGAGCGAGTCAGATAGGAGTGATACACCGACAAAATGCGGTGCCGGTCTTTGGCTCTCGTGCCGCGGTGTGTGAGTGCTCTGTCTACGGACGCCCCCAGGTGCACCAGGTGGTGTGCAGCAGTGTAGTGCTCACGACGAACAAAACTGACGAGGGGCAGCCCGTCGTCTACGTCAGCCCCCGCCTCGCTCACCAGCAGTGACATCACATCGACATCCCAGTGAGCAGAACAGAGTGTGCGATCGTCCTGGAAGGGGCGTCGGCAATCCTGCACTCCCTGCCTCACCAGCCAGTACACCACCTCCCTGTTCTGACTCTCTACGGCACGCTCCAACGCACGACTGCCCTCCTGTCCTTCCAACACCTCTCTGCCCGTCCCCTCAAGCACCTTCTCGAGTATGGCAATGGCGGGGTTGGTCTGGCCCTCGTCAGCCGCCGCCTTCTCGCCCTCCCCCTGCCGCCCACCTGGCACCGCCTCCTCCTCGCGGAATCGGCAGCCACACGCAGACGAGAAGGTGAAGGGTCCATAGAGGATGGATGCGGTGGGTCTGTAGGTCCTTGCTCTTGCGGCCGCGCTGGTCAGCCGACCGACGGCCTCGAGGCACTCCTTGGCCGTCATGTCAGCGCCGCTCTGAAAGACCTTGCCGAGCAGCCCCTCACTGTCCCAGTGGCTGTAGCATGTCGCGCCGTGGCTGAGGAGCGTCTCGATCATAGGCAGGAGGGCGGGCAGCTGAGTGGGGTGCTCCCGTCGACCGGGGGAGTCTGTCGCACGAGGGAGGCGGTCCAGCAGGGCGTCCAAGGGCGCCTCGTCGTGAGACTCCCAGGGGATGCGCAAGCAATCCTCGGCAAACGGGGTGGTCTGGTTGACATCTGGACAGAAGGGGCTCGAGAGAAGGTGTGTCAGGATGGCCGCACCCTCCGCCCCGCTGCACTTCTCGGCCGCCAGATGGAGCAGAGAAGACCAATATGATTCGGACCGGCGGCGGCTCTCCTTGTAGTAGAGTCCAGAAGGGTCGGCCCTGTGTTGCGTCAGCAGCCGGGCAGCCGCATCAGGCGCGAGAGATCCATCGGCCAAGCCGAACGCCAGCTGTTTGGTGGCCGACAGGTCGTAAGCCGGGGCTCCGCTGGAGGAGAGGGTGACGGTGAAGGGCTCTCCGGGCTGGCGCAGCTCGGCAGCTCTCTGTGCCTCCATGCGCATCGGAAATAATACATCCGCCATCCTTTCTCCCCAACCTGCCATCTCAGCTGGGGAAAGAGCTCTACACGGCTCAAAGGGTTTTGCGAGCTCAGAAGTACGAGGTGCAAGGGTGGGCCATTCAATGAATCTGCGATCTTTGACGCAGATGATCGTCGTCATCAGCCCATCGGCATACGGATCTTCCCATCCGATTGATTCATTCATCGCATCTCCCTCACGCCTTTCATCCATCAGGCCACTCATGAGGAGGGGAATGACAACAGCACCAGCACACAGGAAACGGCCTCTCTCGCGGCTCTTTGCCCAGCCACCAGACGTCCCGATTAACGGCAGCCACGGGCAGACCAAGACCAGCAAAGAGGAGATGCAGGTGCGGCCTCTCGCTGATTACGGCAGCAGGTGGCTGCCTTACGTGGTGCTTGGGAGTCTGCCCATCGTGTGGGGCACAACGGCGCCCATGTGCAAGTACCTCAACGTCAAGCTCAGCACTTTTCTGCCATCCAGCTTCGTTAACGCGAGCCTGCAGAGTGCGACGCTCATCTGTTTGCTGGTCAACAAGCTGCTGGTGTCATTTATGGGTCGTGAAGTGGGCAGCGGTCAAGTCACGCGTGATCAGAGGAGGGTTGCTCGAGTGGGTCAGCATGGGAATGAGAGTATGAGCCCTTGATGAGTGTGTACGTGTGTGTGTGTGTGTGTGTGTGGTTGCCCTGCCTGATGTTCATCATTCAGGTGTTGAGCTGGGCATGTACATGCTGATCGGCTTTAGCCTCTCCCTCGCAGGCATGAGCCGCGGCGTTTCGGCCGGCACATCGGCATTCCTCGGCCAGCTATGCACCGTCATCACTCCTATACTTGAGGTAGGCGAGTCGGCGGATGGGGGGACACACACACTCTCACTCTGCAGCCGCGTTTGTATCTGTCTTGCCTGTCTGTCTGTCTGCTGTGCCCTAAGGGTTTTGTGTTTGGCAGGTTCATTCCTCCCCGGATATGGGTGGCGTCAGTCATGTCGGTGGGAGGTCAGTGCCGTGCACAAAGCGATGCTGGACACACACACACACAAACAAGAGGCACGCACTTGCCTGTCTGTGGTGTGTGTGGTGTCTGTGGATGTGTCTGCAGGTGTGGCCATGATGGCCGCTGACAGTCCCGGTGCGGCCGCTGCTGCAGAGCTCACAAGGCCGCATCTCACCGGCTCACTGCGGGAACGGATCATGTACCCTTTTGTGCATGTAAGCGTGTGTGGGTGTCAGGGTAGATGACCATCCCCATGCTGTGTGTGGTGTCTGTCAGGGTGAGGCGCTGTGCGCGTTGGCCGCCTTCTGCTTCGCCACGCATGATGTTCGGCTGGCACAGGTGAGTGAGCTAGGAGGGTGGGTGGGAAGGAGAGAGGGGCAATGGCGTGCAAGCCTTGACGCGACTAAATGGCTGGCTGTGCCTACGTCGGCACAGATGGGCGGCTCCCTCCCCCCTAAGTCCTCTGTGCCCCTCGCCATTGCCAAACAAGCCACAGGCGTACGTTACACAAAACACCGATCCCCCTTGCAATGCGTGGAACACTTCTCTCTGTCTGTTCAGGTGCTTGGTGCCGTCCTGTTGGCCCTCGTGGCCGGCGATCTGCGGCCGTCCAATGCACAGGGATGGGGCGGGGTGCTGCCGGCCCTCCTGGCGTCACGCGAGTGGGTGGTGCTGGCCCTGCTGATGGGCTTCCAGGGCGTTCAGATGGCCGTCACCATGCAGATGCAAAACTGGGCACACCCCAAAGTCGGCGCGTCGATGGCCAGTAAGTGAGACAGACAGACAGACAGACAGACCAAACACACACATGGGCATGCCCTGTCTGTGTGTTGGTGTGCGTGCAGGTGTGTTCTATGCCACGTCGCCCCTCTATGCGGCGGCATGGGCGTCGATCATCCTGTCTGAGAGCTTTGGACGGGGCGGGCTGGTCGGCGCTGTCACCTTTCTGGCCGCCATTGGTGTGGCGCTGGTGCCTGACCTGATTGATGGCGGGGCGAAATGGGCAACGACAAGACGCGAATGAGCGAGTTGACTGACTGACGAATGCGGTGTGTTTGTTGAGCCGAGCCAGGGGTCGGCGTCGGTCGGTAATTTTGTCGGCCTTGCGTGTGTGCGTATATAAGTATGTGTGTGTGTGGATATCGATCCTTGCATACTATCTATGATGCGCCTGAGTGGCGAACAAGTGCGCTGTTCAAAGTCATGCATGGTGTGGAATGGCCAGTCCAGCTAGAGTTCCGCAGCACCAGCTGTCAATCTTCACGAGGCAACTGTCCTCTCCTCCCCCGGCGCCTTTGTTCGATGGGCGGAGGCCTCTTAGCCGCCGAGTGAACGCATCTTCTGCGACTTTTGCTGAGCCGCGAAGCTGCGCTTGATGAGGGCTATAGCTGCCCGCGCTTCTGGCTGTGCGATGGGACGGTATGCGTGTCTCTGCACATTTTCAGAGTGGCGAGGGTCCCACATATAGACATACATACGTACAGCCGGCCGGCACGCTGCCACCAGTGACTGCACAAACCACACGTGCAGCCATCTTAAAACACACTCACACACGCACACACACACACACACAAGCAGGCAGGCAGCCAGGGGTCGACCGATCGGGTCATGAGTGAATGACTGAATGAATGAGTGCATGATGCTGTGCATCAAGCACACACCTTTATGGATGGATCCGACTCTGTCTGTCCCCCTCCCCTCTCTCTCTCTCTCTCTCTCTCTCTCCCCTTTAAACTAACTGAATGAGTTGGGTCTTTCTCTGTCTGTCTGTCTCTGCAGCTGGCTACCGTGGCTATGGCCGGCAGTGTTGGTTGGTTGGGGGATAGAGACATACTTGGTGTGGCTGGCTGTCGGTCCTCAGTGGCCGGCTACCACTTGGGCACGCGCAAGATCCCAGTGGGTTCTCTGCACACACGCACGGGCAGGGTAGGGTCGCACACACACACACACAGAGTGCGTCGGTCCATCCATCCAGCTGTCTGTTTGTGTGGTGTTTATACCTCCTTACCTGAGGCAGTATAAGAAGCCGTCTTCCTCCAGGATGGGTGCGTCGCCGCACTGGTAGTCGGCGTTGTTCTCGCCTTTCTTGAACCAGTTGTAGCAGGTGCCAGGGACGTAGTCAGCTGCATGGACTTCTTTGTCCATCACACACACGTAACCCTCCTTGGCGCAGCGCTGCAGTATCTTGGCCCCCTCATAGTCCGGGAACGATCGATTGACCTTGCACCGGTCTGCAGCCGGGCGGTCCCGGACAGACACACACACAACAGCGCAGACATACACACATGTGTGTGTGAGCAGAGCGACGGAGCCATGAAATCGCCCTCACCTCCGAGGGCGTCTGTATAGAGCATTTGCCGGGCCTTGTCGATGGCGTGCATGGCGGCCGTGCTGAGGTCGTGAGCGGCGGTGCTGGTGGTCATGGCGGCCGTGCTAAGGGCGTAAGCGGCGGTGATGGTGGTCAGGGTGTGGTTGAGCTGCAGCTGCAGCAACGCCATCTGCCCAACTGCACACACACACACAGAGCAGAAACGATAGATCCCTCTGTAGAGTCTGCAGATTCCGCCCTGCCCCACCCTCGGTGGCGAGGGATTCAGTGCCCTGTACGGCAACATCTTCCGCCGACACGTCTGCAGCCATGGATACAGCCACACAGCCATCCATATCCGCATGAGAGCCGCAAAAGCAGACATTTCGGGCAGATCTGCCGGGAAACATGGTGAATTTGGTGCGTGTGCGTTCCCCCTCTGCTTACGTCGGCCATAGTTGCTCTGGGCTGCCACAACGGTCAGCCCGACCGTGAGAATGAGACCGAGTTCGAAAGGATGCGTCACCATCATCGGCGGCTCAGCAAACGTCGCGGATGATGTGCTCACTCGGCGGCTAAAAGGCCTCCTATGCGCCACAACAGAGGGAAAAAGCGCGGCGGAGGGGGCTTCCTGGGCGTAAACTCGTGATGCCTCCCTTTCACGGGGAGGAAACAGATTTTCATTCATTCACAGACCAATCCCCACTGAACCTGATGGCGGCTTCTCGCGAGGTGCACGTGTTGCCTTGTCAGATAGGCGAGGACAACCGTTGTGTGGAAGATCTGCGATGCAACTTCCTCACCTACGATGAGGTGCTACGAAAGACAAGGAAACCAAAGCGCCGCATCGTCCCTCCTCTCCTTCCCTTAGCCGACTCCCTGGTGGATGACCAGCAAGCCTCCGCCCGCCAATGTTGACGAAGCCGAAGCCGCCGGCGAGGAGCAGGACGACCAGCCGCAGGCGGCCGCTCCGGCCAAGACCAAGAGTGCGCTGCTGCACGGCCGTCTGCTGCGGGGGACGGCCATCAAGCTGGCCGACTACGGGATGAGGGGCATTGTCGGGGTGGCGGAGGAGGAGGAAAGGGCCGGGGACGGTGAGATTGGGGAGGGGGCTGTGCAGTTCTCGGCTGTAGAGGGCGCCAGGGTGCTCAAGTCTGTCGGAGAGTTCGATGAGTTCACGTAAGCGGACGGCTGGGCTGTCCTCAGGGAGATGCATGGCTCTCTCTCTGTGCGTGTGTGATGCAGGTACTGGAACCAGGACTCGTGGCCGCGCAAGAAGGACGACATCCAGCAGTGCATGATCTATACCATCATGGCAAAAGCGGTCGGTCACACACCACACACACCTGCACCCGCAACTGCCCGTACCCATTGCCACCATCTTTTTTCTCTGTGTGACTGTCTGCGGTGCGCTCAGCTGCATGATACCAGTGCAGATGTGGCGGGCATGGCTGGCCCGGCTATGAGTGAGTGATAGCTGAGTGGGTGAGCAGGGGACAAGGGATACATCGACTGACTGCAATGCATCAAATTTGCTGCATCATGGATGGATGTGCTGAGTGACTTTGGCACATGTCCCTAATACCATCCAGGCAGTGGCACGCAGCCATTTGTCCATCATGCAGCCCACACGTAGCAACCGCGTTCCCCCCTCCCTCCATCCATCCGTCCATCCCTTGCTCCCTTCGTCCCTCCCTGGCTGCATGGCTCACATGCCCACCCATACACACCAGCAAAGGCCAAGCAAAGTGGCATGCAGCCCCTTCCCTCCGCACATCACGACAAACTTTTCATACTCGTGAGAGGGGAGCATAAGTACAGGCAGGCATGCATCTACTCACAAAGAAAGCAGAGCAGAGAGCAGCACCAATTTTAATTGATACCGACAGCCATCTACAGCGAGAGAAATAGCAGAGCAGAGGCAGGCCAGGCCAGCCAGCAGGTCACGTGTGTCAATTAACCACAGACACACACATGACTGACGGCTGCCCTGGGCGACTACGCGACGCGAAGAGAAGGGACGGCACTGCACTCACTCAGTGCGTATCAACATACACCCACCAGCTAAGCTACATCCAATGTCAATGTCAGCCAGCCGATAGATAGTCCATCCATCCATCAGGCTGGCTGGCCATGTTTGTTGTGCTACCTACGACTTCTGCACCCTCAGCATGTGCAGAAACTCCTGGAAGTCGATCTCGCCGTCTCCGTTGGTGTCGTGTTCCTCGATGATCTTCTTGATCTCGTCGAGGTTCCTCTTCTCGAAGGCTCCCTTGATCTGGTCCATACCCAACACCTGCGCCAGCCACGCACGCAGCACACACGTCTGTCTCCCTTTGTGCGTGTGTGTGGTTTCTGGTGTGATGGGGACGGGACCTTCTTGAGCTCTTCCGCGGTGATTCTGCCGTTGCCGTCCAAGTCCAATACACGAAAAGCCGCCCAGCAAACGTCCTCCTGCAGTGAGGACAAAGAGACACACAGAGACACATAGAGGGAAGACCGAGGACGATCAAAGACTGGTGCAGCCACGGTGTGCTGACGAACCTTGATGTAGTGCTTCTTCTCTAGTGTCGCGGCAATAAACTCTGTAAGTAAAGGCATACACGTGTGGACGGAATGGATGGACGAGGGGGGGTACACGGGAGGGTGTGCATTGCGTGCCTGTGTAGTCGATGACTCCCGATCCGTCCGAGTCGACCTCCATCATGATCTGCTCCAGGTCTTGCGGCAGCTCCTTCAACCCACTCTTGGACAATCCCTCTGCATCAACCGTCACAGACAGACAGGGGGGCATCAGACACACATGACGATCGGCGGCTGGGGGGCTCGGGGGGGACCGTCGACTCTCACACCTACCTTTGACCTCCTGGGTGGTAAGGGTGCCGTCACCATTGTTGTCCAAAGCTGACAAAGGCACACAGAGGGACACCGACGTGCACACCTGCCAGCTGTATGCTGTCTGTGTTCCCGTGTCCCGGCTGCCAGACCAATGAAGATCTTTTTGAGCTGGTCGATTTCGTTGTCGGTGAGCTGCTGGGCAATGACAGTCAGGGCCGCACGCTTCAGCTTCGAATGGGCCCGGAACGAGTGAAGGATATCCGCCCACACACAACACCACAGACAGCAATGTGTGAAAGCATAGGCAGGCAGGCAGGCAAGCCACTCACTTTACCCACCCTGAAGTTATCGACAAGGTTCTTGTTGATAGCCGCCTGTGGGGCAGATGCAGCGACGTTTTTGATCCACGGATGGCTCATCGAGTTCGCAGCCGTGAGGCGGTCTGATTGACAGAACACAGACAAACAGAAAGGCAGACAGAGAGGTCGGAGACGAAGGACATCTGTGTGGTGTGGGCGCACCGACCTTTTGGGCTGAATGTGAGCAGTTTTCTGATGAGGTCTTTGGCCTCGGCCGAGACGTGTTTCCAATCGGTGTCCTGGAACTGAAACTTGCCGCTCTTGACCTGCACATATTCACAGGTGTGCGCTGCAAGGGTGGCGCGCTGGGTTCTTTCGTTCCTGCCTTTTGGAGTATCTCAGCGTCGGTGTCGCCGTGGAATGGGGGATAGCCACACAGAAAGATGTACATGATCACACCAGCTGACCTGAACACACACAGTTGTCGTCCTATCCTTTGTGTCTCCCTCCCTCGCTCACCAGAGGTCGCACGCCTGATCGTACTTGCCCTGCAGCACCTGGGGGGCCACGTAGTAGGGCTGACCGATGAAGAGACAGACAAGGGTATATCATTTGCGTCTCTCAGCAAGGGATGGTTATTCACCGACCGTGCCGGCCTTGGTTGTCGCCACCTTGTCACTGCAGATGCGGGCAGCCAAGCCGAAATCTGATAGCAGACACATGTACAGAGAGTAGGAACGAGTTGCGTGGGGCCGCTGAATGGATCGAATCATGCCGTCTCTGTCTGTCTGTCTCTCTCGGGTTTACCTATAATCTTGAGGGGCGAGTCGGCGGCCTTGTTGAGGAAGAGGAAATTCTCTGGCTTGAGGTCTCTGTGCATGATCTTCTGGCTGTGGAGGTAGAACAAGGCCGCCAGAATCTGCCGCATTATCGTGGATGCCTGCTTCTCAGTGAAGAACCTACACACAAACACAAGAAAGCCCAATCGCCACACACACGAGACGAAGAGAGACAGCAACCATATATACCCGGCTTCTATGATCCTGTCGAAGAGCTCGCCGCCGGTGCAGAGCTCGAGCACCAGGTAGATGTTCTTGGCGTCCTCGAATGTCTCGTAGAGCTTGACGATGTTGGGGTGGTCGAGTTGTTTCATGATGGCGATCTCCGTGCGGAAGCGCTCGATGTTCTTGACCTGCGACTTGGATATCGTCTTGATGGCGCGCACCGCCCCGGTGCTCTTGTTGACCGCCTTGCAGACACTCCCGTAGGTCCCCTGGCCGATGTTCTTCTTCTCGAGGTCATAATACCTCGTCAGAGGGCCTGACATGACGGCACACATATGTAGAAATGAAGAGAGATGTGTCCAAGCTCCCCTGTCTGTTGCGTGTGTTTGCAGACAGGCACCCGTGCGCACCTTCGCTGGAGAGAATGAACTTGTCTCTTGAGAGCTGGAATGAGCGGCTGTCAGCGGGCCCCTCGTCGTCTGCTTTCATGGTGTCGTCAGTGTCGCCCTGGGGAGGCGTGACGGGCAGGGCCCCTCCAATCTGCACTCCGGTGAACGATGAACGACTCCGCTGATTCCTGACACCGCCGCACGCCACTTTCGATACAGCCACGTGCTACGACGGGCCCAGACAAGCGTGAAGGGGGGGGGGCTCAGGGGGGGCTCAGTGTAGTAACGTCAACGAAGGAGGCGAGCTAAGCCAGCGATCATGGGGAAGAGGGGAGAAAAAAGCTGCATTTGCTTCCCCTAGTTCTCCGCCTCGCAAGGGCGCCCGCCACGGAATGCATCCGCCTTGGCCATTTTATTCTTTTCTCGTTGTCCTCGTCGGGCCTCTCCTTGCAGCGGCAACAGGACAACCGCCAGGCCGCCATATCGGCAAAACAGCAGCTGCCAACTCCAGCACCACTGCAGAAGACGCTCCATCCCTCCTGCCGATAAAAACCAAAATGGCCCATTACAACGGAGCTCTCGAGCCCCCGGTCGGCCTTCCGACCATGCAAGTGTCAGCTGCTGGCGCCCCTGCATCGTCCCCTCTGCCACCGGTGCGCGACCAGTCCTCTATTCAGACCATCCCTGGCCGCGGCGACGCTGCGAGAATCGCGATTGTGTCGCTTATGTGGTACCCCAGCTCGGAGGCCAAGGACTGGGAGGCATCTCTCAGCAACGTCAAGGCGTACGCCAACAAGTGGGGGTATTCTCTCGTTGTGGATGTCCGTCCCAGGGCTTCCATTCTCACCAAGACAGTGCAGCAGGTTCTGGACCTCATCGGGGCGGGGTCTTTCTCGTCGCCGTATGAGCGGAAGCTGCAGCTGGTGTCGTATGCGCTGCAGCAGAAGGGCTATGACTATATTGTGTGGAAGGACGCGGACATGATCGTGGTCAACTGTGAGGAGCCGATCGAGGCGCTCATCCGCAAGTGGAAGTGTGAGGACAGAGACGCTATCTTTTTCACTGACACCACCACCACTGCGATCAACAGCGGGGCCTTCTTTCTCAAAAACACCGAGTTCTCACACAGGCTGATTGCGGATGCGCTGAAGATCGTACCAAGACCGCCGCAGCCCATCGGGGGCGACCAGACGGCCCTTGTGTTTGTGCTCCTCGGCTCACCCACAAAATGCCGATCCAACCTGGACGAATGTCTGGGGAATCGGTGCTATGGGCAGACTTGCTTTCGCTTCTTCAGCAGGGAGGCGCAGCACAACATGTGTCTCCTTCAGTATACCGAGTTCGGGCGGCACTCTTACAACCAGTTCGAGGAGGGCAACTTCGGCATTCACTTTGCTGGTAAAGAACCCAAAGGCCCGTCTGTGAAGAAATATGCGGACAAGAGCACGTGTGCCGATGCGAGCAAAGAGGGGAGGCACCTGCACCTCATGAGCACGGGAGACAGGGACCTGCAGTCCCGGTGGGAGTATCTCACTGGCACGGACGCGCAGCAGCAGCGGATGAGCTTCTGCAAGAGCACGGCGCTTTCTGCTGTCCATCAGCTACCCTTTGGTGTGTCGCTCACCCTGCTGCCCCACAGGAGAGATGCACTGACGTCGCTAGAGAAGCGGATGAAGGCGATGAATGCGTCACGGGCAGACGATGAGATATTTGTGCTAATGGGACCTCTGGTGTGGCTGCAGAAGGACCCTGCCGGCATCATCGCCCTCTATATTAAGCACTTCCCCTCTCGCCCAACCGTGCTGCCCGCATCCCACTGCAAGTTCTGTCCCCTCTCTCGGCGATTGTTCCCTCTCTTCACGACCGCGAGACACACCGACACAATCGCGGCACTGAGCGGTCTCAATGCGACGTTCCTCGCCAACCCAGGCAACGATTCCTCCGCATTTGTTGGGAAGGCACAGCAGATCCCCGGTGTGGCATTTGACGAGGACCACATCCTATCAGTGGCTATGAGTGAGGGGCTTAAGGACGAGCATGACGGGACGATAACAGTGTCTGTGAGAGATCGGGGTGGCGGGAGACACGCGCCTGCAGTAGTGGTGCTCGATGGGGCCTCCTCAGACAAGAAGGAGGACAGCACCGCTTCACCACCACGTGGGAGTGTCCACTGGACGGCCGAGAAGCTGGCGCGGTATGTGTTTGTAGAAGATAGCCTGATGCGCTTCGAGGGGCTCTGTGGTGAGCATACTTGGGTCCTTGGCAAGGGGCTTAAGGGGAGGATTGATGCATCTAAACGGCTCGAGACACCTCTCTCCTTTGTGTGTATGTTGTGTGTGCAGGAGACATTGCCGAGGGCCCGGTGGAGAACGCCGATGCAAATTCTATGTATTCTACGGCTTGCTGGGCGGCGGGGCCGCCCCACTGGCCGCTTGCTCTTGTCATTGTGCTGCGACTGGTGAGTGGGGTCAGTCACTTGATTGGCTGCGGGTGTGTGCCCATGGGTGTGACCGATCTGATGGTTGGTTGTCTGTTCCCTTGTCTGTCTGTCTGCAGGTGTGGTGGAGGACATGACGAGTGTCGTGTGTGTGTGTTTTGTGCCTTGTGTGCGCTGGTGGGATGGAAACAGATCGATGAGAGCAGCTGCGTGTGGATGAGAGAGACACTCCATGCCGACTGACCTGCGTTGTATGTCAGGTGTGTATCCATCACGTGAAGATGACCTATGACAACCCTCATAGAAAGCGTCTAGCGTCAACCAGTGTCAGCCATCGAGATGCCCTCATGCCCTCATCACACACACATGGCAGGGCAGGGCACACACACGTCCTCTACATCGATCGTATCAACAACCACCACTTCCCCACCCACTCGACCAGTCAGAGCCCTCAATCGCTCACTCAGACCTTGCCCTTATAATTGTGCTGCTTAGTGAAGGCCCCATAGACCTCCTGGAAGACCCCCCTGTTGCCCTCGTGCAGCAGTCCCGCATAGAGGCTCTGCTTGGCGTGGTCGCTGCACGCCTCAAAGATGGGCGCCAGCCCGGCAGACAGGACAGCAATCACACGGGACCAGCTGGCAAACGCGGTGGCATCCCCTTCGCTCAGCTCAGAGGCCATGCTGCCAGTGAGTGTGGTGAACTGTCGTTTCTGGTCGACGAACTCGCCCACGAATGCCGTCAGGTAGTGACGCGTTGACGACAGCCTGAGAGAGAAGGAACACACACGCATAGCAGAATATGGATGGCACGAGTGAGGTGAGTGTGTGGAAGGTTCTAGGTTTACCTCTCGGGCAGCACGAACAGCGCCCAAAGCCGACAGACGTCCTGCGCGAGACTCAGGGCAGACCTGCGTAGACCGACAGACACCGACCACACACACATCCCTCCCTCCCTCCCTGAAAGGGAACAGACATCTCTATGTGCTGTCCGGTCCGCTTAGCTTACGTGGCGTCGCTCATCATGAAGACGGCCCTGAGCAGTCTGGTCATGATTGTCTGGACGACGGCGATCTTCTTGACCCACAGCGAGTCGGCTCTGCGGTGCTCGGCCGCCGACAAACGGATGTGTGGCGAGGGCGTCAGCAGCACATACAGGGCGTAGTAGCCCACATTGGGCAGCAGCCGGCACTCAACACCAGCCACCTCAGAAATGTCAAAGGGGCCTCTGGTGGGCAATCTGACGCGGTTGACATTGCATTGCCATGATGTGAGATGGTGACCTGTCGTGTGGTGTGTTGGCATCGCACACCTCACCTGTGCATTGCTGCGTTTGAGGCGATGTCAGCTGCAGTGAGCAGCAGTGATGCGCACAGCCGGTCGGCCGGGGTGACAGTCGACCCAACACCCTCACTAATGTGGGAACCTGGGACACACACACACACACACACAGGAATCCATCCATCCATCCATGGATCCATCCATCCATGTAATATCACTTCTGCGTCTGGTCGCCGCCATGAAGTTGACAGCGCACTGCACGCCCCTCACACACGCCAAGACGCCAGCAGCCGTCCTCCCACTGTCCTCCTCCAACTCGTGCCGTCCCATCAGCAGCTCTCTCGCCAGCTGCAACGACCCCATAATGCCCCTCGCCAAACCTGCCGGCACCTCTGGTGGGCCGAGTGCCTTGATGATGTTGCCTCGCGACCGAAGCAGACAGGAGAGGCCCTCCAGGGCCGCAAGCGCCTTGAGAGGGGGGTGTTGGTTCGGTGTGGGTGTGGCGATTGTGTTTGCGAGTCGTGAGATGACGGCTGAGAGGTCTTGGGTTGAGAGCTGTGGGATGAGTGTGAGCCAGCACTTGTCGAGAGGGGTGGAGGAGTTCTCCTGCATGTTGATGCTGCCGTCCAGCAGACACCGCCACGTCTTGTCAAGCCACACACCTGATCGACGCACAGTACCAATCAAATCCAATCAGTCGACACACACACTCGTGGAAGCAGACGCCACTTCTCATTCACCTGTTTTGGCGACGGTGTCCTCCATTCTAGCGGACAGCAGCACAGCGGTCCTCCCCACCAGCATGTCCACGAGGCCAATCGTCACGTCCTCTTCTCCACTCAGAATGCTCTCCCTCCTGCCCCAGTGCCGACAGAAGGCCTCCAGCGCCCGATCGACAGCCCCGCCCCACGCAGCCTTGTCGTCATGCCCGATGACGCGCGGCAGCATGGCGAACAGCCGAGCGGCCATCTCGCTTACAGACTCTTCTGTCATCGTTTCCTCGTCGGCATCAGTGAGCTGCGCGTCAAGGTGGGAGGATGTGAGCCGCAGCAGCAGTGGCGCCAGATCGGGGGCGCGTTTGCCCACTCCCTTGTCGATGCGGTCAACCATTCCCGAGCTGACCTTGACCCGACGCAGCAAGGCCGCCCCGCCGTCGAGAGCGGCAACGCGGTCCCACACAGTGGCCAACACACGCCCAGCGAAGCGATGCTTGCTCTTGCTCGCCGTCAGTTGCCAGCAGGCTCGCTCGTCGCGAGATAGGAAGGGCTTGAAGAGGGTGGCCGATGACAACGCGGGCAGGACGGTGAGCTCGGCGTCTATGTGGGTCTCGCGAACGAGAGCCTGCATCTTTTGCAGCAGGGTGGCACCTTGCTGTGGCTGTTGCTGCTGCGGTTGGCCACTGTCTTGCAGGAGGCCCGATACGGCCAGGACGAGAAGCGACGCGGCGGCATCCACTCTCTCGTCGCATTGCTCCCGATGGTCGTCGGCCGCCAGCATCTCCACCACCCCAGGGAGTGTCACACCCTCGTCCAGACCACCGTTGCTGTCGTCAAGACCAATAGCAGCCGCCAGCCGCTGTGCACAGGCACTCGCCTGCTCGTCGTCAGTATCGATCTCCCTCAGCAGATGGAGAGCCAGAAACGACGGTCCGCGATCGCATGATGCACACAACCGGTGCAAGACCATGGCGCAGCACATAGCCGCCTGCTGCACGGTGGGGGCCAGTGGTGGTGGTAGGTGGACCATGTTCTTGAGGTCCGATAGGGGGCCGAGTGTGTGCCATGTTCGCAGCAGCAGGGTTAGCAGTGGAGGGGCGGGGAGGGTGACCAAGTAGGCAGGAGGGAACAGGGACGTGGCGGCGTAGAGGGCGCAGATGTCTTGCACGGCCGCAGACAGCCTGCACACGCGCATATTGACATCACGGTGATGGGCTCTCTATGGAGCTATCCATCGCTCGCTCACCCTTTCACGAGGTTTTCTCGCGGAAGGGCAGCAACGGTCTCTCGCAGACGATCCGTCTTCTTTCGCAGCTTTGTCGTTGCCTGGCGGAGCAGATCAGTCAACCGCGTCAATAGCGGGACCTGTGGGGAGGACATGAATACCAAAAGGTCAGTCTGCCCCTGTGTGGGTGTCTTGTGTCCCCTCTGCGACACACCTTGATCGCAGGAATCTCCAGCACATCGACGCCCAGCTGCCCCAGCCACAACGCACGAGTGGTCGCCGCAACACCCACCACTCTGCCACTCGCCCCCTGCCCGACCACTGCAGGCGGCAGTGCGTGTGCCAGCCTCTTGGGCAGCAGGTAGCGACACACCACCCCACAGCTTTCATCGTTGCCATCAGCCGCTGCTGTTGCCCTAAGCAGCACTCGAAGATGTGGAGCGGCGTGCTGCCACACGAATGTCCGCAGAGACGCAGGCGCGTCGTCGGCATCGTCTTGATCGCCTGGTGGGCCGGGGGCAAGAGCGCCGAGGATGCGCGAGGCCGGCGACTGGGCGGCATGGTCGTGACGCGCCCCGGGGATCTCAATCAGCCGATCCAATAGCTGCAACGCCACTTGCACGCCCATGTCCCGCGTCTCGAGATCATCATCACTCGCCTGTGACGTCTCCGCCAGTTGCTGCAGCACGCCTTGCGACACGTCTAGCAGCTCACGTATGCGGCCATTGCTGCCTTCGTCGGTCGTCACCATAGGTGGCAGCCACGCACACAGACGTCGTGAGAGGTTGGCCAGTGCCAGCAGTAGGGATGGCGCGGCGATGGGCGGCAGCATGGGGGATGCGGGGCCGTCTGGCGGTGTGGGCGCGACGAGGGAGAAGGTGTCGCGGGTGAGAGTGGCCAGCGGCTGCAGGAGGACCTCTTTGACGTCTGTGTGGGCGACGAAGTGGCTGAGCACGAGGGCGATGCTGCCTGACGCTCGCTCACGGAACTCCAGACCTGAGTACACCAACACATTGAAGAATCGAAGGAAGGAATGTTGGGGCCCCCCTGTGTTTGTGTGCTTTTCTCTCACCTTTCTCCAGGTCTGCGAGAGGCACACCCGCGCCTTGACGTCCATCTGCATCTGCTGCGTCGGCACCTTCACTTCGTTTCCGCTTCTTCAGCCTCTTCTTTTCCCTCTGTATGTGTCCCCGCCACTCAGCGGCACTCGCCAGCCGCTCCCGCAGGCAGGACAGCAGGCCCATCCAGATCTTCTCACTCTGCCGGCAGGGCAACACGACACACGGGACCGATTCGATTCGTCACACACATAGACATCCAGACACGCACATGCACTTTCCTGCATACCTGCACGGGCAGTGCCGATGCTGCTGCCCGCTGGACACTGGCGAGCACTCGGGCAGGTGTGATGAAGGTCAGGGAGAGGGGCGTGGGGGCGTCTGGTGTGTCGCTGTCCTTTGACGCGGTGGCGATGGATTCGATGATGGAGGGGAGGTCGTTCAGGCGCGCAAACACGGCGAGCAGACGGACGGTGAAGCCCTCACTGACAACACACACATCAACAAAGAGAGGGACAGTCCACCAAACACTGACGATACACCGTGGTTGCTCTCTCTCTCCCTCACACCCTGCCAATGGCCCTTGGTGGGAGTTCCCCGCCCGATGCTGTTGCTCCTCTTGTTGCTGGTCCTCGAGCAGCCTCCAGATGGCCGGCAGCCGCTCCTCGACGAGAGAGGGCTCCAACTCAAGCACGACACTCAGCCCCTCCCATAGCAACCACACCTCATCTCGACAGCTGTCGTCATCCAGAGGACGCTTTCTGGTGCTGGTGCTGGTGCTGGTATCGATGCTGGTAGGGGCGAGGGTGACTGCCTGCAGGCGTGTGATAGCGAGATGGGCGAGGGTCTTGAGGCAGCCCTGCTGCACGCCGACAGCGTCCTCACGGACACGGTAGACACCGTGGACTGTCACCCTGATCGATGCGCACACACACGGAGAGAGAGAGGAACAATGAGGGGCAAATGACAACAGACAGACATATGGTCGGTCGTTCTTCCTTCGCCAGTCACTGTTGGTTTGTGTGCGGACCGGACCTTTTCCAGAGTGTGATGAGGCACCGCAGCGCCGCCACACGCTGCCGCGACGGCCCACTGTCAGCCAAGGAGCTTTTGTACAGCCCCAACACCATGTTGTACAGATGCAGGAAAAAACAAAACTCTGCCGAGGTCTGCAGCTGATGACGCGATGATGACGAACCCCTGAACACATCAGTCTTCTTATCCTTGCCGGCATCGGGTGTGGTTGGGTGGCGCTGAGAGGCCGCCTGATCGCCTCTGCGGCTCACTGCCCGGATATAGGCCGCGAACAGGCAAGGCAGCAGCAGCAGGCAGCCTTCGATCGCTTCCGACGAGGCAGCCACAGCCGGCTCCTGCTGTTTTCCTTCCGCTTTGCTGGATTTCCTGGACGCCTTGGCTGGCTGCTGCTTGCCTCCTTGTGGTGTGGAGGTGGAGCATATGACGTTCCTCAGCCTCTCGAACAGCATACCCTGGAAGGCCTGCTGCTGCTTCTGCTTCCTCGTCTCATCTGCCGTCTCTTTCTGCTTCCTCTTGTGCTGCGAGTACTTGCCGATAAGCGCCTGCATGCCATCCTGCACAAAGGCGGCCTCAAACCCCGATAGGTGAGGCGCGTCGAACAGCCACTGCAGGGCGGCCGAACACAGCTGCAGGGCAGCTTTCGTCGCACCTGTCCGCTCAGTGACGACCGACGCCGCCATTAGCTTGGCGACAGGGCCGCTGAGCATCGACGTGAGGAAAGCAAACACGCGTTTGGGGTTGGTCTGCTCCCTCAGGGCCGTCGCCAGGAACAGCAGCACCGCCCCAGCAGCGGCCCACGCGTCACGCCTCGCCGGGTCCTCCACAAGCACAACGACGGTCTTCTCTAGAGGGGGGAGGACCATGTCGATAGATGGAATGAACAGGCCTCTGAACCGCCGCAGCAGACTCGCGGTGACGGCCGCAGGCAGGGACATGCAGACAGATGGCTTGGTCTCCTGCCAGAGGGAGAAGAGCAGCGGCAGCCAGGCCTGGATGGGGTACTCCACAGGCAGGGCGGGCAGCACCACCTGCAGGAACCGCCAGTCAGTCTCGCCGAACGCCGTTCCCTTCTTGACCTCGCCCATGGCCCACTCGAACAGCCACACAAGCAGCTTCCCATGAGTGCGGCCGCGTGCTCTGGTGCTCTCGAGGAACCGGCTGATTTCCGCTGGGCGTCGGAATGTGACGCACGTGCCAGGAAGATCGGGGCGGTCAGCCGCCTGCAGCAGCGCGATGGCGTCGGACGCAGATGAAGATGTCATCGATGACGTCAGATCCATCCCATCAACACGGAAAGCTTCGCGAGAGGCGGTATGTGATCATGCCTTGAGCGCGCAGTGGATCGAACTCATCGAGAACACCAAAGGTTGTGCGATACCTTTTAGGTTCCACATCACATGCAGCACTGCGCATGGTTCGCGGCATACGAAGACATCAACACGGAGAGAGTCCAACAGACACCCCCCACCTCACCTGCCCGTTCGCCCATCACAATCACTCACTCACTGGTAGAGCACTTCGTTGGCAGACCGCACACGGCCGGATGGGTGACTGTCAGCAATACGATATATACGACCCCACACAGCACAACACAACAGAACGGCACGACAAGACAACACGCGACCGACCGACCGACTGACCGATGGATGCACGCACAGCCTGCCAATCAATCGATGAATCCATCAGGGAGGGAAGACGGAGAGGCGCGTGCCGCATCTATCTGATCTGAAGATACACTCATTCCCTCAGATTCGCATCAGATATCTGTCTGTCTCATCATCACACACACGAGGACAAAAATACGGCTGGCTGTTTTCCCTTCTTCTTGCTGTGACCGCTCTCGGGCTGATGCCGCCTCACCCCCTTTCTCTCTCTCTCTCTGCCAACCCCTCACGCACATGCGCGCAGAAACGTACCGACTCTGTGTGTGTGTTCGTATCATTGTCGCGCCCACGCAGCCTTCCCCGCACGAGAGGTGTCGAGGGACCCTCGCGCAGGGAGTGTCACAATGGATGGCACCGACAGGATCCGAGCACACAGACGAAAGGCTTCATCACGTCAGCCACAGATGCAGCCAGGAAATGAACGCCATTTCGGTCACGCATGAATACGTCACGCAGACGACGAAAAACGAAAAAGTCGGATCATGAAACTGCCAGGCATCACAGCCAGGCAGGCAGCTAGCAGGCGAGGGGCTCTTACAAAATTGCAGCGGATTGTGTGAGAGCTGGCTTGTTGCTATGCTGCTTGCTGCTGGTGCTAGGACCTACCCTGATCTGCCTAGAACGACAAGACACCTCTCCGAGGAATCTTCCTCTCTCTCTCTCTCATATCAGACAGACAGACAGACAGACAGACAGGGGAGTGTTTGCTACACTGCACACGGTGGTTTGTTCTTCTCCTCTCTACCTCCGAGAAAAGCAAAGGAACAACACTCTGGCCGCGTGCAAGACCGAGAAGAGCACCGGCTTGCTCATATGTGCGCGCTGTGCTACGAGAGGTGGATGAATGAACGGGTGCGGTGCGATCGGTGTGCCCACAAAACCTCGAGCAGCTGTGTTCGTGTCTACGGATGCATGGATGGATGGGATGGCCTGCCGAGAAGAGAAGAAAATGCACACCACACACACACACACACTAGAAAAGCGCTAGAGAGAATTGCAGCAACCACCTCTCTCTCTCCCTCCCTCCCTCCCCCCTTGCCACAGATGCGCGACACATGCACACACACGTCCATAAACGCCACGCCCGCTCTCCAACACGCACACATAGAGGCACACACAGATCAGAAACACGGACCAACGAATTGGTGTGATGGATCCATGCCTGCCAGCCTATGGAGTGGACAGGGTCTCTGTGCCCTTGTTGATGGTGTATTCCTTGGCGTCGTTTTTCTTGAGCTGGTAGCCGCGGATCTGCAGGGCGGTGTCGGCGCTGTCCGGCTGCTCCAGAGGCACGAACTCCCAGCCGGGGTTGCTCACCTTCAGACCATCAACAATCGCCTTGGCACCTACACAGTGCAGCACAGCACAACCACCACACACAATGTCTCTCTCTGTGTGTCATGGTGGCGGTGGTGGTGGTGGCGGTGGCATCACCAGGTGCGACTTTGATGACAAGCGCGCCATCGAGATCGAGGTCCTTGATCTCAATGTCACCCTCAAGCACCAATGTGGACCTGCACCACACGCACACACAGACAGACACCTCGACAAGAATTCTCCCGTCCCGGCTGTCTGTGCTCTCCTTCCTTCTCACTTTGCGGAGATGTTGATCTTGCCGGATTTGAGTTTCTCTTTCATGTCTTCGATGGAGACGGCGAAGCTGGGCTTGAGGACGATGCGCGGGCCCATCATGTAGGGGATGTCCAGGTATGTCACCTCCACTGGCTCGCCCAACACCACCTCTGACCCCACAGCCTTGCCCGCAATCGACAGCAGCTGGCCGGCATTGGCGTACATGTCCATCTCACCTGCCCACACACACACATGGACGGCCAATCTATGTGTGGCGTCTTCTGGGTGTTGTGTGTGGGTGTGTCGGGTACCTACCGGTGTAGGGTGCCTCTGGTGGCAGGCCGCCCTTGGCCTTTGCTGCGGCGTCCTTGACGTTGTTCTTGACCGTCGAGAAGCAGTACCAGCGGGGCAGCTCCGTGAACCCTACCTATGAGAGGGAGGGAGGGAGGGAGGAAGGGACCAGCACAGCCACACCAAACGACACACATGTCGATAGTGTGTTCGTATGCGTGTGGGTATCTATCGTATCGGTCTCCCCTCCCCGCTCACCTTGTCGGTGTCCTTGAAGAGCCGTGGGAACTCCTGCATCATGCACTCCAGCCGAGTGGGCGACTTGAACGCCGTCTTGGTCGCATCCTACACAACACACACATGTCCGTCAGGTCGACCGTCTCCCCAATCATGTATGTGTGCGTGTGTGTCGAGTGTCAGCCTACCTTGTATTTGGGGTTGACGAACTCTGGCACGGTGCCGTTGGTCTCTGTGAGCGTCTCTGCGTATCTGTCGGCCTTGAAGACCAACACGTTGATGTTGCCGGGGAACTTGGAGTTGCCCGTCACGGGGTCGGCAGTGTCGCCCTGCTTGTCGCCCGTCTCCTTCAGCAACGGATCTGCACAACACAACAGGCACACACACAGACAGACAGACAGAGGGAATGCATCCCATCATCCATCTGTGGATGGAGAGGGAGGGAGGGAGGGAGGGAGGGAGAGAGTGTACCGAGTTGGTTGTACTCGACGTTGATGGTGAGTGAGGAGCCGTCGTCCTTCTTGAGCTTGCAGATGCCGCCCACCGCCTCACCAGGCTTCCTGCAGGCAGGACACACACACGACGCACGGTACATGTGTATGTCTGTGTGTGTGTTGTCGTGCGTGCGTATGTGCGTGCCTTGGTACGGTGACGCTGTTCATTGCGAAGTCCCTCTTGGCCGACACGCCCAACACCGCTGGCACGGAACGGAAAATCAACCCATTGGTGTCCTGAGAGGCATCCCATCCACACACAAAGGTGAGGGCATGGCTGCATCCATGTGCTGTGCGTTTGTTTGTGTGAGGACAGACAGCGTCGGTCGCGAGGACTCACTTGGAAAAACACCACCCACTTGCGGCCCTCCTTGACCCACTTTTGGGGAAGACCTGCACACACACACACACATTAGTCAGTGGTCACACACGCATCGCATCACCACAACACATGCCATGCGGTGCCAGCCGCCATGTGTGTGTGTGGCCGAGCCGACTGACCGTACCGTGTGAGTTGAGCAGCGTGTGGACGTCCCCATGTCCGTGTGGCTTGGTCTGAATGCCGGAGGGGTCGTCCTCCTTGGGGGCTATCTTGGCCTCGTTGTCCATCAGAGCCGGCACCTTCTCCTGCTTCATCAAGGTCAGCTGGTCGGCAGGCAGCCCGAAGTTCTTGTGCTTCTTGAGCAGCTCGACCGTCCGGGCGTGGGTGTCCTCGCTGGTCATGATGGCCAGCGGCAGCTTCACGGGCTTGCCAGCCTTCTTGGTCGCATAGGCCTGGAAGGCCAGAATGTACTTGATGTACAGCTCCGCGTAGGTCATGCCGGTGGTGGTCTCGGCGGGCAGGCCGATCTTGATGCCGGGGTACCCCAGCCGCTCCCCCAGCCCGCCGGCCACCAGGACGAAGCACGCTCCCTCCAGCTGCTCCATGCCCAGCTTCTCAAAGTCGGCGAATTCGGCGCTGCCGACGTCGAGCTTCTCGCCCTCGGGGATCTCCGGCACGTAGCCCTCGAACGGGTTGACGCCCGCCTTGCTCTCGGCCAGGAGCTTGCGGGCTCGGTCGATGTAGTTCTGCAGGCCGCCTGGGTAGGCCTTGTCGGCCTTGATCAGCTCGGCCAGCAGCTTCTTGACCGCCTTCTTGTCCTCCTTGATGGGCTCCAGCAGGTGCGCCTGGCCGAGCTTGTCGCCCTCGAGCTGCTCGAGCATCTGCTGCTCCGGTGCGCTCAGCTTGTTGCCCATGGCTGTCACGTCAATGCGCACAGAGAGTGGCGCGGTCAGGGGGGCCTCCTCCTGGGCGACTGGTGTGTGTGGCTGGGCGGTCTTGAGGCGCTTCTGAGACGGCTCCGTCACAGAAGAGGAAGAGGGATCCACGTTGACCGACGGCGACTGGCGGGACGAAAAGAGACTGCCGAGGACAGGCGAGGGCGCGGCGGCAGACGGCTTGACGAGACGACGGTGGCGCGCGAGGAACGACTTGATAGAAGAGGTGGCGGGAGGGGTGTCAGGGCTTTGCTGGGATGAGAGTGCAGCAGGTCCGCAGCGACTCGAGTCTTCACCACCGGCGGTCGGCTTCCGGTTGGCCCTCTTTCCTCCCGAGGATCTGTTGGTCGCTCGACAGCAGCCAGGCACTACTGTCAGGACAAGCAGCACGAGGGCGAGGCAAAACAACCGAAGAAAAGAGCAAAAAGGGGTAAGCAAGGGTGAAAAATGGCTCGTGCTCCGGCCAACACTCCTTCGCATCCACAGTCGGTTCACTTCCCTCAAATTGCGAGCTCAAAGTGAAACCCAAGCGGGCTTAGCTTGCAGACCGACTGAAGAAAGATGCGTTCAGAGGGCTCAGAGGAGGTTGTAGAGGACAAGACCACTGCGCAGATCGACGAGTACCTAAAGACGCCCATCCCAGGCTTCACAGGCATGTCCTCTTCCTTCCCTTCTCGCCTCAATGGGTGTGTGTGGGTTCGGCATCTTTAATTCCTTTGTCTGCTGCCAGGCTTCATTCCAGGCAAAAGGAGCGAGAGCATCATGGGCGGCACATTCTCCTCTGCAAACCAGGCTGCAGGTCAACAGCAACAGAAGCAAACCACGCAGACATAACAGTGCCACGTCTGTGCACTACATGCAGCGGGGCTTGCGTCGATGAATCGGACGCTGCGGCGTCAGTTCGTCACGGAGGGTGCCGCCAAGGCCAGAACGGTCAGTGCAGAAACGCAGGCCAAGCGGGCAGCGTGCCGGCCGGAGCCCTCGGGCTGCCCCTACACAAGTGACGGGATGACGCGGGTGCAGAAGGACTATACCGTGTCCAGTCTTCCAGGCTACTCAGGTACCTGCGCTCAGTGTCCTGACTGTGACGCATGGCCATGTATCCCTCTTTCAACTCTGTTCAGGTTATGTGCCTGCGAAATACAGTGGTGAGACAGACGCGGAAGTGTTCTGCCGCTTTATGAGTCTCACGTGTTTGCAATTTATGTCGGTGTGTGTATGTATTCAGAAACAATCGTTGGGGCCACCTTCCAGGTCAGGAAAGCCTCACCAGCGACGGCACATGACCACCCATTGCGTGGCGTCTCTGTCTCCTTGTCTCATGAATGCTGCTGCAGCGTGCCAACGAAATCGCGGCTGAGTGTCGGCAGGCCGCCAAGGAAAAGGACAGCAGTCAGGCCTATTCCATCGCCGACGTGTACCCCTACAAGCTCTCTTTGCCAAAGAAGGACAGACTGGATACATACCTCACTCGGTCGATTCCTGGTCAGCTGGAAGACACGCAAGTCTGTCCCCCGTGTGTGGCCCAGCCCACGGGTCTGTGTGTGTGCTTGTGCGTGTGGTTTAGGCTACAGTGGGTACATTCCCCAGGGTGTGGAGGCGATCGGCAGTGGGTTCAGCAAGAAGCAGAAGATCGCTCAGGAGCTGTACTGTGAGCAGGTCGACAGAATACTTGCCGAACGAGGCGAAAAGGGGGAGGCGGGCGATGCAGATGCATGAGCAGAAATATCTTCGCACCTACCTATATGTGCATGTATCGACACACGCTTCACATCAATCCAATCCATGTATCTGTCTGCACAAATCAGTCGGCCCGGCCATTCATCGAGTCAGCCCAGCCACACACACATGGGCCGGGTCAGTCAGTCAGCGAATGGGTTCTTCCATTCCATTTGTTTCCTCTTCCTGGCAGCCCTCTCCTCGTCACTCAGGCACCCACACCGTGACGACACACTCCCCCCCACCGCCCCCGCCCCCACCCCGTTGTGTGTCACCTTGTCGTGTCTTGTAGTCAGGTGTGCTTGGGGGAAGACCCCTGCGGCCCGCAGGTGCACAACGATGTGCAGCGTGACGTCATCGGGGCGGCTGAGGTACGGGAAGTCCCCGCCCGACTTCAACTCGGCTACACGTGCCCGGGGGTATCTGACAGACACACATTAACCCACAGAGAGAGACAGAGGAAGAGAGAGAGAGAGAAAGAATGGATGGGTGGGTTGATGGGCTCCTGCTCCTCACTGACCTCTTCTTGACGTCTTGTGTGAGGGCCTCAGGTATGTGCGTCTTGTCGGCCACGTGCAGCAGTGTGATGCGCTTCTGATCTGTTGGCAACACACTCGGCACACTATTCGCCGTGCAATTCAAGCTGACATGTGACCAAAAGACAACACATGCACCCATCCACCCCTCCCTCTCTCCCGACCCTTATTTATTTATTGCCTTACGTGAGCCTCGAGACCAGGTCCTTGGTGGGCACCGATGACAGCTGGTGGTGCATGAAGGCCGCCGCTTCCTTCTGACACATGTCGGTGCCGATCTTGTCCCACCGGGGGAAGGCCTCCAGGGCCAAACGGCGCACCACCATGCCGGGCAGATAGGCGATGAGTGACAGCCAGGGCGTCGCATCGGCGAAGTGGGCCGTGCTGCTGAAGGCGTTGCAGAGAATGAGGCTGCACACGCGGCCGGGGTGGCTGGCCGCATACGACTGGACTAGGAAGCCACCTGAGCATCGTGTGTGGCAATGAGATACACATTAATTGGCATCATGTGTGTGTGTGCGTATGTGTATGTGCGTGTGAAGTGAGTGGTCTTGTCACCTAGCTGAGCGCCGAAGAGGTGCGCCTTGGTGATGGAGAGTGCGTCGAGGAACCTGTCGAACGACTTGACCCAATCACGGACGTCTTTGCAGGCGGCATACTGACACGATATCACACGGTAACCCTGACAGACAGGACAGACCCAACCACACACACACGATGCGATGTGGCCTCGTGTGGTGCGATATATCGATAGGCATCAGCAGAGCATCCAGAAAGCGGTATGTATCTCTGTAATAGCGCAATGTATCTCCGCAGCACCTTCTTGGCGAGCTCCTCCATCTGCAGGAAGAAGCACGACGCCGTCCCAGAGGTGCCGTGGACGAACACGAGAGGCTCCTCCCTTGCCCTGCTGTCACTACGGTCGCCCGGCAGCTCGAAGTACGACCACACCGACTGCTGCGAACACCTTAACACCACACACACAACACCCCGCCATAGAAACGCAAAACAAGAAAGAATTTGTGGCTCGGTCCCCGCTTGCCTTGGCAGGGAGATCTTCATCATCGGATGCCTACTCTTGAACGCCGCGTGCTTGGCGCTCAGCAGCAGGCAGCCGTGCTGCGAGGAGCCGGCCGCACCGGCGGCTACTGACGTTGCTGAGGTGGCCATGGCGCACTTCCGCAGGCCGACGCACAGCAGGCTGTTCCCCTGCACTACGCTGCTAACGGACCGGCAGGAGCGGCGACGCGGCGAGGCTACGTCCATGACGCCAAACGCAGCCGCATAAATACGTAAATTCGTGCGGTCTCTGCAGCTAGGGAGGGAGGGGGGGGAGGGAGGGAGGGGAGAGCGCGGTTGCTACGTGTGGGCTGCATGATGGACCAATGGCTGCGTGCCACTGCCTGGATGGTATTAGGGACATGTGCCAAAGTCAGTTAGCATCATCAGCACATTCATCCATGATGCAGCAAATTTGATTCATTGCAGTCAGTCAATGTATCCCTTGTCCCCTGCTCACCCACTCAGCTATCACTCATCATGGCCGGGCCAGCAATGCCCTCCACATCTGCACTGGTATCATGCAGCTGAGCGCACAGCAGACAGTCACAGAGGAGAAGAAAGATGGTGGCAATGGGTACGGGCAGTTGCGGGTGCGGCTGCGGTGTGTGACCGACCGCTTTTGCCATGATGGTATAGATCATGCACTGCTGGATGTCGTCCTTCTTGCGCGGCCACGAGTCCTGGTTCCAGTACCTGCATCACACACGCACAAAGAGAGAGCCATGCATCTCCCTGAGGACAGCCCAGCCGTCCGCTTACGTGAACTCATCGAACTCTCCGACAGACTTGAGCACCCTGGCGCCCTCCACAGCGGAGAAATCCACAGCCCCCTCCCCAATCTCACCGTCCCCGGCCCTTTGAGCCTCCTCCGCCACCCCGACAATGCCCCTCATCCCGTAGTCGGCCAGCTTGATGGCCGTCCCCCGCAGCAGACGGCCGTGCAGCAGCTCACTCTTGGTCTTGGCCGGAGCGGCCGCCTGCGGCTGGTCGTCCTGCTCCTCGCCAGCGGCTTCGGCTTCGTTAACGTTGGCGGGCGGAGGCTTGCTGGTCATCCACCAGGGAGTCGGCTGCAGGGAAGGAGAGAGAGGAGGGATGGTGCGGCGCTTTGGTGTCCTTGTCTTTGGTGGCACCTCATCGTAGGTGAGGAAGTTGCATCGCAGATCTTCCACACAACGGTTGTTATCGCCTATCTGACAGGGCAACACGTGCACCTCGCAGGGAGCCGCCATCAGGTTCATGGGTATTGGCTGTGGGATGCTGTCAAAATCTGTTTCCTCCCCGTGAAAGGGAGGCATCACGAGTTTACGCGCAGGAAGCCCCCTCCGCCGCGCTTCCCTTTTTCGTTGTGGCGCATAGGAGGTCTTAGCCGCCGAGTGAGCACATCATCCGCGATGTTTGCTGAGCCGCTGATGATGGTGACGCTTCGTTTCGAACTCGGTCTCATCCTCATGGTCGGGCTGGCCGTTGTGGCAGCCCAGCGCAACTATGGCCGATGTAAGCATCCACCCATGATGTCTGCTTTTGCGGCTCTCATGCGGAGTGTCGTGGTTCCACGCTCTGGCGAGAGAGGACAACTCGACGGAAGCTGCATCTTTTTAGATGGACGAATAGAGAGGGGATGGGTTGTGCGAGCCAGAGCTTTGGGGCCCGAAAGGGGCAATGAGTGGGACCACATATTCATGTCTCGCATACGTAGATCTGCAGTGAGCGTGTTGCAATTTGCACAAAGACAGGTGGACCAACACTCACATTCCTCTTCTGCACCAGATCTGGCCAGGCTATGTGTACATGGGCCCATCTCGCATTAGGTCACTCTGGCGCCTCGAGCACCTTGCCCCTGCAGATGTGACACAACCCATTGCCGCCGCCTCTATCGCCCATCAGCCAACCAACTGCACACAACAGAACACACACACAGGTAGCCTTCGCTTCCATACATGTCTCGTCATGTACCCGTGTTCCATCCGCCGCATCGGCCACAGAGGACCCTCTGTGCCTGCAGGGCCGCCAGCTGGACGTCCTTCTCACTTAGTCGCTCGGACAGCTCGCAGATGTGTTCCGTGAGGAGGGCCAGCTGGGAGTCGACTGATTGCTGAGTGACCGCCATGTCGCTCTTGGTCGCCTCGACACGCTCCCGCAGAGACGACAGCTCTAACTCGAGCCGCTCTCGATCCGCCTCGCTCGTCCGCAAGGCCTGACACAGAGCAGGCAGACAGGCAGACAGGAGAGGATGGATGGACAATATGTCTGACGTCTCTCTGGCTGTCCGTGCTGTCTGTCGCTCTCTCGCTCTCTCTCTCTCTCTCTCTCTCTCACCCTCAGTGCCTTCCGCAGCTCGCCGTGCAGGTCGAGGGCTCTGGCGTCCACCTCCTGTAGCTGGGCCTTGAGCTGCTGGATGGTGTTCTCGTACAGACGCAACACCTCTATCTCCACCTCACCACCACCACCGCCCACGCTGCTGCTGGTGTCATGGCCATCCCTCCCCCGACATGGCTCTATGCTGCCCTCCAGCCAGTCGCCGCGACGCGGCCTTGCTGGCGGGGCTGATGGCTCTGACCCGGCGTCACTGGTCGTGATGGTGGTGGTCGCCTCGTCAGCAGAGTCAGCTACGGGGACCGGTGCGGGGGATGGAAGCCGGGTTTGCTTGAGGACGGTGAGATTGGTCTGCAGGAGGGCACACTCGTCCTCTGCCTGCCGCAGCTCCTCCCTCAGCCGACTGCTCTCATCCAGGGAGGCGTTCATGTCGCTCTGCAGCCGCTGGAGCTCCCCCTTGAGCTGCCTCTCCCTCTCACCCGCCTGATGCACCTTGACACGCCACTCGCGAGCCTCACGCACGTCGATGCGCTCGGGCGCAGAACGCAAGGATTGCGCGACGGAAGACACCAGGGAGCGACAGGATGACGCTCCCTGCTGGACGGCTGAGTGGGCGGCGATGATGCTCTTGGGGTCGCCGTGCACGGCCTCCCCCAGGCCCTTGATGGCCGACCGCAGCGACGGGGTGACAGCCGCACTGCTGGCCTGGTGGAGGGCCTTGATGAGGGCGTAGAACTCGCTGCTGGTGCCGGACACAGCTGTGGTGCCCTCACCGAATGCCATCATTGCCCCCCCGCCGCCCCCGATGCGATCGCCCTTCAGCGCCATGCACCTCGCCAGCGACTCCCAGGCCTTGGCCGTCTCTCGCACAGCGCGCTCGACCCGCCCCCATATGAATCGGGACAACTCTGGCCGCGCGGATATGAGCACCGGCATGCTCTGTGGCTGGTGTTGTGGGCCGTCTGATGACGCGTCTGACAGGGTTGGTGCAGTGGTTGAGCGCGTGGATGCTGTGGAGGCGCGACGGTCGAGGGGCTGGGTGGAGAGGATGGCTGCGGAGGGGTCGTGGGAGGGCGCCTGCCAGTGGAGCGCGCTCAGGGGAGGCTCCGTGTCCATGTGCCAATCTGACAAACGAACAGACACCAGCAAAGATGCATACCGACCCGACTCGGTGCCGTTCCCCTCCCTCACACCCTCACGTCTACCTGAGATGACATCGATATATCTGAACAGCTGTGTGGTGAAGATTCGGAGTCGCCTGAGGGCCTCCATGGCCCCCTGCAGGGGCGACATGGCCGCCCTGGGGCTGTGTGAGGGCGAGAGGCTGGTGGGCGAGAGGGGCGAGTGGGGCGAGAGGGCGCCGTTGGGCGTGTCGGAGGGGCTGAGCATGAGCTCCTCGAGGGACAGCAGCAGCACGTGGTAGGTGATGAAGGCCTTGTGCAGACGAAGGAAGGTCGCCCGGCTCGACTGATGGCACAAACCAAACCCGGCTCCATACACAGGTGTCTGGCTTGTTCTCTCTTTCTCTCTGTGTGTGGGCTGGCTGGTACCTTCAGGCCATCTAACGTCTTCCTAAGCTGGTCAACAGAGTGCGATGGTGGCTCATGGGGCTTATCTGACAACAGACATACAGACCCTGACAGCGGCGACCTCTGATATATCGGCCGCAGTCCTCACTCACCATCAGCAGCGAGCAGTGCGAAGAAGTCGCTGGGATTCCTCTGCAGCCCCTGCACCAGCTCGACACACAATTCGCTCATGCCGCGGAGAGCCTCCTCAACACCACAAACGGCACCGTGCGCCTACACATACAAACAACACATGGAAACACATACATATACACACACACGGAGACCTCCGCAATCGACTGACTGACTCACCTTTTCCCTCGCGACGTCCATTCTATCAAGCGTCGGGCTGCCTCTATCGCCTCCCTGGGTGCCACTGAGTGCCGGGATGGGCTTGCTGAGCCATGACCGCCACGCACCGTAGGCAGCCAGTAGTGCCTGCGTGTAGTGGCTGACAGACCGAAGCACCTCCAGGAACCAATGGCGCTGCTGGTGCTGACACACACACACACACACACACACACACAGACGGACAGGGATGGGATGGCAGAAAAGAGGCATGGCGTTGGCGGGGTGCGGCGTATGCGGCTGACGTACGTACGTACCTGAATGGCGACCAGCGAGGCCCTGTGGGCATCGTACAGCTGGTAGGAAGGATATCGACAAAGGTCAAGAGGAACCTGTCGGTACAGTACCCACACAGCCAATGAAATGAATGACCACCATGTAGTCATCCATCCATCCATCCATGTAGCCATCGACACCACACGACACCACCATGTGCTCACCTGTGTGTGGAACCTCTTGGCTAGGTCTCTGTATGCGTTGCTGAAGTTGGCCTTGAGGTGAGTCACTGTGGCCTTGAGGGTCTGCAGCTCGCCCCTCGCTTCACCCAGGTGCTGCTCAACCTGCTCCTGCTTGGCGCTGAGGGCGGCGTGGGCGTCTCGGCTCTTGCGCAGTTCGTCGTCCTGAGACGCCCGGCACTCCTCCAAATGCTGACGGACGGACGGACGGACGGATGGATGGATGGATGGATGGATGGACAGATGCCAGGCGACAGACAGACGATAGATGAGGTCTTGTGTTGGTCGTGTGTGTTGTGTGTCGTGCAGCCCTTTACCTGTATCTGGTGCTGAGTGTTGTTGACAGTGCGCTGCACCTGTTCCATCTCCTCCTGGTGGGCACGCTTCGTCTCGAACTGCTGCACGTGGAGCGCCTCTGACACACACACACACACCACCCCCGCCGCCAAACCATCGTGAGCTCAAGATGATGGACGGATGGTTGTTGGGCTGGCTGAAGCTTACCATTCTCCTGTATCTTCAGCCCCAGCTCCTCCCGCACCACAGTGAGCTCGTTCTCCAGCCTCTGCAGGGTCTCCTTACCCTGACCGCTGAGCAATCCGCCGATGAAGCTCGACGGCTTCTGACGCTGCACACAACACACACATGACATGACATGCATGACAGGCAGCAATCGCACAACTGATCCCTCGTCGGTCGATTGGGTGTGTGTGCGAGCGTACCGCCTCCTCGACTTGCGAGGTGAGCTGTGTGATCTGTTTGGTGAGTCTGTTGTGGTGGTACTGGAGGCTGTCGATCTCCTCGGCCTTCTTGCGGCCCTGGATCTCAGCATCCTTGAGCTGGTCCTCCAGCCGTTGGCACTCCTGCTGCTTCTCTATCAGGGCGTTCTTGAGCACACCATTCTGCTGCTTGAGCGTCTGGTACTTCTCCTTGAGCTTGTCAAACTTCTCAGCTACATCCATTTGCAACCAACTAGCGGCAAGGAAGCGAAGCTCTGACTTTCCCGGCCTTGCAAGCTCAAAAGCTCATGTTGGGTTTTGATAGCAGGGTTTGTACTTGCTTAGCTTGCAGACCTGTCTTTCTATTTCGCGCATCTTCGGTGAGCGTTGGCAGCTCTCGTGCGTGTCTTGCTTGGCGGGCTGGCCATGCCCATGATGGACTCGTGCGTTGCGTGCCTTGCGTAAAGGCTTGTACGGCAGAGATTGATCCTTCTGACCACGGTGTGTGTTCGGCACACAGCAACTTCAACAGCTCAAGCACCAGCGGTTTCACGCAACACCCTAGGCGCGTCCGCGCGTGTGTTGGCAAAGGGGACAACATGCACCAAAAGAGCTTTCCAATGGCAAAGACGTCCATCTCCGTATGTTCAATTCATCCGGCCCCCTCATGTCTCTGGGAAAGGCAGATGCTAGTAGGGTGCATGCGCACATGTAACTCTCTCCTCCCATCCATCGCGCCACGCCAAGCCAAGCTATGTCGATTCTATGCACAGACAGGTAGATGAGATGGATAAGAAAGAAGCGCTACGCTCCGTCACTCACTCAGTCGACATGGTGCCTGACAGCGATCATGACCCGCACGGCCAGGATGTCCTCTGGGTATCTGAATATGCGGCATTTGACGGCGTAGAGGGCCTTGGCCCCACCCACTGGCAAGTCGAGGATGGCGCGGCCCTCCGGGTGGCCGAGGAACGTCGGGAAGAACAGACGCGATTCGGCGTGCGGAAACGACAGCGGCAGACCCTGTGTGACACACACACACACACACACACGCGGATAAGTGAGACATGAGACATGAGACAGAAAGACCTAATGCGTTGGAGTGACGTACCTTGAAGACCGACTCGTGCCCGCACACGCCCTTGATCACGTCCTGATGACACAGCGATTGTTTCAAAGGCACAGTTATGTTGTTCCACTGCACTGACCACTGACAACAGACTGACCTGGAAGCACCTGGCGTGGTCTTTGGCTGGGGGCGGTCTGCCGGCCCTCATGGCGCTGCTCGCGTCCAGCTCGGGCACATGGGCTGTCAGCTCGTATGAGTAGAGGGGGGTCGACAGCAGGTGTCGCAGCAAAGGGTCGAACACCGTATCAGCCTTGACAGTCGCCCGACGGTAGTCGGCGATGCAACCGCACAGGTAGCTCTCCACCTAATGATTGATTGATTCAACACACAACACACGCGTGGAAAGGGAGAGAGGGGAGGGGAGTGGGTATTCTCGACGGCTCACCCGTTCCTCTGTCAGCGTCGATCTGCAGAAGGTGCCTGGCTCGCCCTTGTCAGCCCGCCACCAGCTCCTCAACGCCAAGTCTGTCACACCAGGACCTCGGCCCATCACAGCCGACCCGCCCTGACCCATCGACGGCCCCTCCTCGGTGTACATCCTGACAGACCAACAGACAAACACACCCACACACACAGACACAGACACACATCCAGACGTCCAGGTGCATCGATCCATCCATTGAGTGTTCTGCACGGACGGACCTCAGTGCGGGTGCGGTGACTAGGGGTGCAGTCAGGGGGTGCCACGCGGCGGGGTCCTCCTCGAATGCCAGATGAGTGGCGGAGGGGCGGTCGTCGAGCTGGCAGTTGGCGTAGAGGGCCGAGCGGTTGAAGACGCAGTGGATGGCGGGGTAGAGGGACGCCAGGTGGGGGTCGCTCGAGTGATACCGGTCACCTGCATGGCATGGACGACAGCCACAGCAGTCACATGTGCGATGTGCGTGTGGTGTGGCGTGGGTGTGTATGTGTGTCATTCACCCACCTGTGGCTGGCTCCCAGTGAGTGCCGTGCCTGAGGTCAGCCTTCCACTCTCGTGTGATGACCCACAGATGGGCCCGGCCATCGCTCTCCAGTCCTGAATGCGACACACATCGACACGCGCGTCTGTGTGTGCGTGTGTGCGTGTGTGTGTGTACCGATGGCGACCCATGCATCCATAGCAAAGCCTAAGAGGAGGCTGCACAGCAGCAGTGCCCGCTCCGCTGTCGTGGCCCGTCCCCGCGCAAGCACAGCCGGCAGTGTGTGCCAGACGTCACAGGCGCAGTGGCTTGCGCTCGACCGCTGCACACCACACACACCACACACACCGCACACACCACGTGAGCAAACTAATCCATCCATCCATCCGTCCATCCGTCCACACCACTCACCAGTTCTTCGTCCCTGAACAGCGACACGAACCGAGCCGCCTGGTACGGCGTATCGATGTGCGTGCTGATGAGTGCCGCCAAGCCGTCCCTTCCCCCCGTCCCACCATCGCTGGCCAGGCAGGGGGCGAGGAACGACGTCACGGGGAAGTAAACTCTGTTCTCGTTCTCGGCACTGAGCTTGACGAGTCGCTGGTCGAATGATGGGTGCATGGCGCAGTAGGCCCGCCACCACTTGTCGGTCAGCTCGAAGAAGGCGCGGTGCTGCTCCGACCTGATGAACCGAGAATGGCACGAGTGTGGGTGGG